GCCACCCAGGCGCCCCAGGGCACATGCATTTGATTTAAAAAATATGTATTTATGCTGATGCATTTAAATAAATATTTTCCAGACATCATACCCTTTCGACCCCTAAATTATTCAGTATGCATTTCTAATAATATTTTTCTACGTAACCAGAATAACAGTGATTTCTTATTATTATGTATCTGGTGCATATTCAGATTTACCCACATGTCCCTAAAATACCTTTTATAGCAGATTTGTGTTACTCGCAACTATCCACTGTCACACATTCATATTCACTTAAAAGACTTCTGACTTACTTCCCTTTTACCCTAGGTATATGAAAACATCTCTTGCCCCAAACTTCTGCCAACGTGGGGTATTACTATTTTTGCCAGTCTGTTCTATCCTTTATTTTAAACTTGACATTGTAACGCAGGTTTATTTCTTGGTAGAGAATCTTTAGAAACCTCACGTAAACGTGGGTAGGTAACGTTCCATCGAGAAGGCCCGGCGCACTGTCCGTCCTGGGGTCCCTGTGGCCGGCCCTCAGCGGTTTAGCTCTTCTCGCCTCCAGTGGACAAGCAGGTGCGCTGGAACCGATGCTTGCGGCCTTGCCTTATGAGTTCACGTGTCTCCTTCCTCTGCATCAGAATCCACCTCATTGTCTGGAGATCACGCCACCATCTTCAGAAAAGCTGGTCTCGGTGATGCGGTTAAGTGACCTCTCTACAGAAGATGATGACTCGGGTCACTGTAAAATGAACCGTTATGATAAGAAGATTGACAGTCTAATGAACGCGGTTGGTTGTCTCAAGTCTGAGGTGAGGGAGGTGGGGGCTGGAGTAGCTAGGGCCCTGAGGGTTTGACAGAGCGCCCAGGTTGGTTCCTGGTGGCCTGCTTCCTTGCGGCTGTCCGCCTGTGGGCCTCCCGCCCTTCTCAGCAGGCTGCCCAGGGCTTCAGATGCCTCTGAGGAGGTAACCCCGGGGCACTGAGCACTTAGCCCAGGGCCTGGCTCTGACCCCACCTGGTGCTCTGTATGGACGCCCTGGTTTGACTTGTCACAGCGATAGATGAAGCCAGTGGGGGTATCGCCCCCATTTTGTAGATGACGTGACTGTGACACTGGGAGCTCTGTTCCCCATTTTTACACGGCAGTTTGGAAAGAGAACAAAGCCCCAAAGAGGTGAAGGAAGTTTGTCGTCAGTTGGTAGGCTGTGTCCTTGGGCGGGCTCAAGACTCAGGTCTTGACAGCTGACGTGGCCTGTGTCTTTAATCCCCTGCCCTGCATTCGGGGCTCATGGGCCCACCCGGAGAGCCTTGGGCTGGCTGCCTGGCAACAGCCCTTTCTCCAAAGCCTGCAGAGCATGGACCTTTTTGTGACATCTCCCCTGTGGTGTGCCAGCAAACCACGGTTTGTATCCTGGCTCTGTCCCCAACCAGCAAGTCGGTCACTTGGGCTCTCTCTGTACTCGTAACTCAGTAACAAGGAAATGAGACGAACAGTGTCCGTCCCTCATCTCTGTGCTGATTGACTGAGATTGTGCCCCACAGGACCTAAGTACCTATGTATCTGTCAACTGGAGGCGCCCTTAACTGGTCCAAAGCAACGGGCCTAGCCATGTGGCGGAGAAGGAGCCTCCCCTCAGTGGCCCCTGCCTGCATGCTCCCGCACAGGTCAAGATGCAGAAGGGTGAGCGCCAGATGGCCAAAAGGTTCCTGGAGGAGCGCAAGGAGGAGCTGGAGGAGGTGGCCCACGAGCTGGCCGAGACCGAGCATGAGAACACGGTGCTGAGGCACAACATCGAGCGCATCAAGGAGGAGAAGGACTTCACCATGTAAGGTGGCCCTGCCCCCGAGCGTGTCCCTGCTGCCCAGCCGCCGCAGGCCCTGGGAGCGGAAAGCGACGGAGGCAGGCCCAGGCGCCGTCGCCGGGTCACAGTGTACCCAGGCTTACGGCTGTTCACCAGCCACAAGCTAGTTACCGGTTCACGCTGTGAGGGAGGACAAGGACCTCCCTCAGTGGGGGTGCAGTGGGGGCAGGGAAGCTTCTGGAACGAGCGACGTTTAAGGAGAGCCCTGCAGGGTGGTTCGAAGCTAGGCAGTAGGTGCTGGGGAAGAAGGCATGGGGGGTCACGAGTGAAAGCCCCAAGGGAGGAGCTCGCGACTGGGGCCTGGAAAGCGGGCCATCGTGAGGACAGGGGTGGGCAGAGGGCAGGGCGGCCGTGGAGGTTGGCGGGGGCTGTTCTTAGCAGTCGCTTTGAGGAGTTTGCATTGAGGGGCCATGGAAGGGTTTTCAAAGCGGGGAGTGGTGGGGCCAGACGTGGCTCCAGGGTGAAGGGTGCAATGGACGGCTCAAAAGTGGATCTGAAGGTGGTGGTTACGAGACTCTGGCGAAGGCTGGGGACCGAGGCGATGCTAGTGGCTGAGAGGCAAGCAGGGCCACGGATGGCATAATGTCACCTGAGGTGAAGGCCCTGCTCTGGTGCCCAGGTGGCCTTCCAGGAGCCCTCCCTCCCCCTCTCCCACTGTTCCCTGACCAGGAGACGAGCCTCGCAGGGCATTGTGAGGCGAGCCTCAGAGCTCTGAGCGGGCCGGGGCCTGGAAGGGCTCACAGAGCACTATTCTCTCTGGCCCCAGGCTTCAGAAGAAACACCTCCAGCAGGAGAAGGAGTGCCTCATGTCCAAGCTGGTAGAAGCTGAAATGGATGGGGCTGCTGCTGCCAAGCAAGTCATGGCCTTGAAGGATACTATCGGGAAGCTGAAGACGGTAGGTGGCAGGCAGAACCACCCAGCCCTGGGACTGGGCCCAGAGGCAGGCAAGTTGCAAGCTGGGGAGGGGTCTTTGCGCAGTCATCAGGCTGACTTTATGACATCTCCAGGCCAGGGGAGGGCACACTTAACTCCTCAGCCCCCACCCCCACTCTCACTTCCAGGGCCTGATCCTTGAGGATGACCTCTGGTGGCCAGGGTCTCTGAGGAGACCTCATCATGGGTCTCCTGGGATCACAGTGAGTCAAGGCCCAAGTCTGATTCCTCCAGTGTCACAGTTTGATTCCTGCGAGTATCGGCCACCAGGTGTCGCCCTCCTCCTCTTCCTCCAGGAAGCCTGCCCTAACTTCACTTGCCTACCCTGAGCTCCCCAGCCCTTCTCCCTACTTGTTGCTCTCAGCTGACTCAGCTCCTGCCCCCATCCTTCCAGGTTCATCTCCTCCGGGAAGTCTGCCTTTGACCGCTGTGGTCCTGTACACAGCCAAGGGCTTCTTACTGGGCTTCCTGGCACCAGCACCTCTTAAGAGGGGCCTGCCTCGGCCGCCTCCTCCCTTCTCCCCGTGTACCTTGTAAGACTGCCTGCTATCTTCCAGGAGAAACAAATGACCTGCACGGACATCAACACCCTAACGAGGCAGAAGGAACTTCTCCTGCAGAAGCTGAGCACATTTGAAGAGACCAACCGCACCCTCCGAGACCTGCTGAGGGAACAGCACAGCAAAGAGGTGAGCTCCTGGCCTCTGCAGGCCCGTCTGCTCTGAGCCTCAGTTCCTTGTGACAAAAAGGTACTCTCCGCGCCCGACCTGAGAGGGCCGTAGAAAGATGTGACCAGTCTTCCCTTGAAGTGCTGGTCACCCGGCAGAGGGTGCTGCCTTCATTGTTGAAGCTGGAGCTGGTGGCGCATGAAGGAGCTGAGGCGTCAGGGGGACGCCCGGCCCTTGGTTAAACAGAGGATGGCTCGGGGCTGGCAGACGCCAACTGTAGGCTAGCGCTTTGTTTTCTTAAAAGATGGGTTCCTGAGGATATTCTGTGTTAGCAAATGATTCTGGAAAGACCAACGGTATAAATAGCTGTCTCCCTGTTGGGCTCAAACCAAAGAGAGACCATAGTATGGTGTTTTGTTTTTTGTGTTTTTTTTTTAGCATTGTCAACTTCTTGTTTAGATTTTTAAAAAATTAGTATTTCATATTTTTATTTAATTGCGTCTCGGCTTTTTGGCTAAATTCAAGTGTAGTATCTGTTCTTGTCAGTTTAATATTTTTATTTATTTAATGTTCTTTTTTTTTTAAACTTTATTCATTTATTTGAGAGAGAGAATGAGAGAGAGAGAGAGCATGAGGTGGGGGAGCGTCAGAGGGAGAAGCAGACTCCCTGCTGAGCAGGGAGCCTGACGTGGGACTCGATCCCAGGACTCCAGGATCATGACCTGAGCCGAAGGCAGTCGCTTAACCAACTGAGCCACCCAGGCGCCCCTCTTGAATGTTTTTTAAAAGCATTTATTTATTTATTTATTATTTATTTGAGAGAGAGAGGGAGAGCACAGAGGGAGAGGGAGAAGCAGACTCCCTACTGAGCAGGGAGCCCAACGCAGGGCTCAATCCCAGGACCCTGAGATCATGACCTGAGCTGAAGTCAGACGCTTAACTGACTGAGCCACCCAGGTGCCCCTATTTAATTTTTTTTTAAGTGGGCTCCACACCTAACGTGGGCTTGAACTCAAAACGATCAAGAGTCACATGCTCTACCGATGGAGCCAGCCAAGCGCCCCCCAGAAATTAGTATTTAAATAAGTACTATAGAACCGTGTGTGCCCCGGCCAGCTTTCCAAACAAAATCTTATCCAGGTAGTTACATCCCTCTTGTGTCTCCTTTGGTGATAAGCTTATCAGAGGGATCCTTTATCTCCAATCTGATCATCTTTATCGCTTACGTATACATGACATAATAGAAACTTCACATAAATAATATGGTTCCATGCATATTATTCTGAGTTTTCTTTTTTCACTCAATATATTTTTTTCAAAGATTTATTTATTTGAGAGAGAGAGAGAGAGAGAGAGGAAGAGAGCAAGCAGGGGGAGGGGCAGAAGGAGAGGGAGAGAGAATCCCAAGCAGACTCCCTGTTGAGCAGGGCCCTACGCGGAGCTCGATCTCAGGACCCTGAGATCATGACCTGAGCCAAAACCAAGAATCAGACACTTAACTGACTGAGTCACCCAGGCGCCCCCACTCAGTATTTTTGAGATTCATCCACTTTTATCCCTGAGGCCTAAGGTAGTTAATTTTCACCGCTATGTTCCATTTTAATGACTACCACAATGACTACCTTTCTTCTGTGGATGGAAACATATTTTCAGTTTGCTATTACAAGCAGTGTTATTTTGGGTATTCATGTACACTATCCTGGTATACCCAAGAGTTTCTAGAATATATTTCTATCAGTTTTATTAGTTACAGCTAAATTACTCTCTTAAAATCAGTAATACCTGTTTAATGTCTGGCTCAGTGTTCTTGGGTGGGCAATTTTTAACCTCTCTGGGTCTCAGTTTTCCCACCTGTAAAATGGGAATAGCATCTTCCACATGGCGTCATGTGAGGACATGGATGAGGGAGTGTCAAACTGCTTAGCACCCAATAGGTGTTTGGTGTGTGGTAGGTGGTAGGTGCTGCTGCTGTTTGTCCTGGGACCGTGGCCCCCCAAAACGTCTTCTACCCAGTTTTTTCCCTTTTGACCCCTTAGCTTCTACTGTCCTGGAATCCTAGAATCTCCCATTGGAGATGAAGGGTCAGCCAATTTGGACTCCCACCCACAGCAGGTGCTCCATGTTCAGTCCAGGTTCTCATTTCCTCCTGCCCATGTGGCACTTGGGGCAGACCCCTCATCTCGGTGCTTGCTAGGGACACTCAATGGGGTCAGTTGGCTTAGGGCCCAGCTCTGCCATTTCCAGCTGTGTGATCTCACGCAGCTCACCTCACTTCTCCCAGCCTCGATCTCCTCTTCTTAAAAATGGGGGTGGTGGTCGTACGTGGCTCCTTAGAATGGGGGATTTGGTGAGACTGTGTTAAATTTGTGTGGTGTCCCCTTGGAAGCTCAGAAGACACGGCATAAAGGGCAGTGGGAGCGCCATCAGGCCTAAGCTTTCATCCTGTGTTGCCATCGTGGTTTCTCCACGATGCTGGCTTCTCACCGCTCCCTGTGTCTTGTCCTGGCTTGTGAAGGGAACCTGTGAGCCTGAGAGGAAAAGGGCGGGCGAGCCCCCCTCTAGGGAAGAATACAGAAGGTTCACAGGCACAGCCTGTTGGGAAGATGGGCAAGGGGAGCAGCAGTTGGGGGAAGAGGGAACTCAATGGCTGATAAACATATGAGTAGTTAGAAACATGCAAGCTAAAACAGCAGGAGTCTTGCTGGCAAAGACTGGCCTGCCGCCCAGGGCCCTCCTGTCCTGCTTGTGGCCATGCACATCCGTGCAGGCATTTTGTAGGTCATTTCAGCTCACAAACCTGGCCCAGTCATTCCTCCTCTTGGTATCAACCCTATAAAGACACTTGTCCGGGCCCAGCCCAGCACCGTACATCGCTAGGATGTTTGCCGTTGTGCAACCTGATGATGAATAATAGCCCCGTTGCCCAGAGGCTATGCATGGGGAGAGGTTAACAATGTAGTGGCATGCTAGAGAAAAGGCAGATTAGTGGTTGCTGGGGGCTGGGGCAGGGGGACAAAGAGATTACTTCAACAGGTACAAGCTTTCCTGTGGGATGATGAAAATGTTCTGGAATTAGTGAGTACTTATGGTTGCAGAACGTTGTGAACGTACTATATGCCACTGAATTTTACACTTAAAAATGGTAAAAATGGCAAGGTTTATGTTTTGTTTTTTAAGATTTTATTTATTTGAGAGAGAGAACGTGCAAGCACTAGTTGGGGGGGGAGGGGCAGAGGGAGAGGCAGACTCCCCGCTGAGCAGGGAGCCCAGTGTGGGGCTCAGTCCCAGGACCCTGGGATCGTGACCTGAGCCGAAGGCAGTTGCTTAACGACTGAGCCACCCAGGCGCCCCTGGCAAGGTTTATGTTATGAATGTTTAACCACAATTAAATTAATAATGCAATATGCCAAGAACCATTGAGTTGTGCATTTTAAATGGGTGACTTGTGATGGTATCTGAATTTTCATCTCAATAAAGTTGTTCTTTTTTTTTAAGGTTTTATTTATTTTTTTGTCAGAGAGAGAGAGAGAACAAGCAGGGGGAGCAGCCGGCAGAGGGAAAAGCAGGCTCCCTACAAGGAGCCCGATGCAGGGCTCCATCCCAGGACCCCAGGACCATGACCTGAGCCGAAGTCAGCTGCTTAACGACTGAGCCACCCAGGCATCCCTGTTTGTTTGTTTGTTTTTAAAGATTTTATTTATTTATTTGACAGAGACACAGTGAGAGAGGGAACACAAGCAGGGGGAGAGGCAGAGGGGGAGGGAGAAGCAGGCTTCCCGCTGAGCAGGGAGCCCGATGCGGGGCCCGATCCTAGGACCCTGGGATCATGACCTGAGCCGAAGGCAGACACTTACTAACTGAGCCACCCAGGCGCCCCGGTTTGTTTGTTTGTTTGTTTTTGTGTTTTAAAGATTTTATTCATTCATTCATTTATTTGTTTTTTAAGATTTTATTTATTTATTTGACAGAGAGCAAGAGCAGGAACACAAGCAGGGGGAGTGGGAGAGGGAGAAGCAGGCTTCCTGCTGAGCAGGGAGCCCGATGCGGGGCTCGATCCCAGGACCCCGGGACCATGACCCAAGCCGAAGGCAGATGCTTAACGACTGAGCCACCCAGGCGCCCCAAAGTTTTTTTTAATTTTTAAGTAATCTCAAGAGTCATTCACTCCACCCCCTGAGTCAGCCAGGTGCTTCTCAATTAAGCTGTTTTTAAAAAATCAAGTAGTCCGGGGGTGCCCAGGTGGCTCAGCCGGTTAAGCATCTGCCTTCGGCTCAGGTCATTCGTCCCGGGGTCCTGGGATCGAGTCCCGCATCGGGCTCCCTGCTCAGCAGAGAGCCTGCTTCTCCGTCTCCCTCTGCCTGCTGCTCTGCCTACTTGTGCTCTCTCTCTCTCTGTCAAATAAGTAAATAAAATCTTAAAGAAAAAAAAAAACTTAAGAAAAAAATCAAGTAGTCGGGGCGCCTGGGTGGCTTAGTTGATTGAACATCTGCCTTTAGCATGGTCCTGACCGAGCCTTGCGTCAGGCTCCCCACTCGGTGGGGAGTCTGCTTCTCCCTCTGCCCTTCACCCTGCTTGTGCTCGCTCTTTCTCACAAGTAAATATATAAAATCTTTAAAAAAAATTTTAAAAATCAGGTAGTAGCACAAAAATATAGTATGTTACCATTTTGGTAAAACTACCCATAGATCCCTTCCCCCCCCCAGCCCCTAAAAGATACTGTATCTCTAGGTGTAGCTATATATAAATGCATAGAGAAAGGGTGGGCAGGACATTCATCAAACTAAACAGTGGAATGGGGTTTGGAGGTGGATGAGGGGACTTTAGCATTACTGGTTCACTGAATATTTTATAATGAGATTGCAATTTATGTATGACTCTTATAATTGGAAATACAAATTTTGGAAAAGGAAGAGAATCCAGAAGGGATGTAGACATCTGGGTTCATTGCTTAACCACTTGGCTCTCGCTGTGCCTTCCCTTGAAGGATTCGGAAAAGCTGATGGAGCAACAAGGAGCACTCCTCAAACGGCTGGCCGAGGCGGACTCAGAGAAAGCGGTAACACAGCGCCCCCTGCCGGCTCTAGTGGCTTACAGGCGACAGTGCGCAGAGGGGCTGGCCCAATGCCGCCGCGCTGGCGCCTCGCTCTGACATTTCTTTGGGTTTTAATTTCATGATCTATAAGATGGGCTGATGTCCCCTATCCTGCCTGCTCCACTCGGTTTGTCTAGTTGGTCACTTGGGGGCTTGAACCACCATGCTGAACACAACATGAGGGATATTGCCGCTGCTGCTGGATTTATTAACCATCAGAGTCTGTTTCTTGAATTGCCTTATTTGTATTATGGATTAAAAGCCATCAAAAGGTTCAGACTTTTTGACTCAGCAATTCCAATTCTAGGAATCTCTCCTAAGGCAGCACACTCCAAAGTCTGTTCATGGAACCCTAAGTTCCTCACGATGTTAATGGGTGCCAGAAACAAAAGAAGGGAGTGATACGAGGCCAGATAAATTGGGAATCGACTGGCTGGCCTGTACAAAAAGTTCACTGGGTTAACTCCAAAACCTTTTGGAGCACTTGAGGTATTAATGCCCACATGAGTCTCCAAGAGAGAAGGAAGATGGAGGCCATGTTTCCCAAGGTGTGGCCCTTGGCCCTTAGTGCCTCTCCGAATACCACAGTGGGAGATTTGGCAATGAAGGAGATAATGCCTAAATCTGTACCCCCAGCTTGAAAGGCTAGGAATCGAATCATGATACACCAGTAAATTGAAACTTTAAGCTGCTCTTTGAACAGAAGTAGAAGATAGAATCACATTATGGTAAATGTTGTGGGATTGTACGTATGGAACAACGTACGCATGAGACTTTTTAATGTGTTTTAACAGTGGTTCTTTTGGCTGGGGGACTATGGGGATTTTTTTTTTTTATTGTGGGGATTCTTTAGCATTTTTTTTGTTTTTCACTGTTTTCTCACAGCTAACATTATTTATTTATTTTTAACATCTATTTACTGGAGAGAGTGAGAGCGCATGTGTGAGTTGGAGGAGGGGCAGAGGGAGAGAATCTTGAAGCTGACGCCCACTGAGTGCGGAGCCTGCTGAGGGGCTCAGTTTCACAACCCTGAGATCATGACCTGAGCTGAAAGCAAGAGTCACACACTTAACTGACTGAGTCACCCAGGCACCCCTATTTATTTATTTATTTATTTTTAAATTTTTTTTATTTTTTAAATGTTTTATTTATTTATTCATGAGAGTCAGAGAGAGAGAGAGAGAGAGGCAGAGGGAGAAGCAGGCTTCCCACTGAGCAGGGAGCCCGATGTGGGACTCGATCCCAGGACCCTGGGACCATGACCTGAGCCGAAGGCAGACGCTCAACCATCTGAGCCACCCAGGCGCCCAATTTTTTAATTATTATTATTTTTTAAGTAGGCTCAATGGCATGGAGCCCAACACGGGGCTTGAACTCACGACCCTGAGATTAACACCTGAGCTGAAATCAAGAGTCGGACGCTTAACCGACTGAGCCACCCAGGCGCCCCTCACATTATTTTAAATTGCAAGATCAATACATGTCTGTTGTCTTAAATACTTAATACAGATGTTGGGTGCTTCCGGCCAGGATCTCTGTGACATGGTCTGGTGTATTCTGGACCTTGGGCCCTGGTGGCCAAGCACTCACAGGAGTGGCTGTCCCCCCGCCCCCCCCGGCCCGGCTTCTTTGCCCTTCCCCGGGAGTTCATGACCGTGTGTGTTCTCTCTAGCGCCTGCTGTTACTCCTGCAAGACAAAGACAAGGAGGTAGAAGAGCTACTGCAGGAAATACAATGTGAGAAGGTACCATCCCTGACAGTTCTTTCTCCTTACGAGCTAGTAGAGCTTCGTGTGTAGAGTGGGCACTGGAACTGGAAACATGCGTTCACATGCTGGCTCTGTCGCTTTCTCCATCTCTCCAAACAAAGGCTCAAGCAAAGACAGCGTCCGAGCTTTCTAAATCCATGGAGTCCATGCGTGGGCATTTGCAGGCACAGCTCCGGTGCAAAGAGGCAGAGAACAGTCGCCTGTGCATGCAGATCAAGGTATCTGCCGGCACTGCAGGTGGGGGGGACGGCTGGAGCGTGGCAGTCCCAGGGCAGGGAGCTGCACTCAGGAAGGCTTTGCCCCGACGGTTTATGGGGTGCTTGCTGCCAGTGCCCTTCCCCCTCAGAGATACTGTGGGACAGTGGCAAGAGCAGTGGACCCTGGGAACATGGGACAACAGGGCCCGTCAGCCCTGAAGTGACAGCACTGAGGCCGAGGGAGCTGGGTGCTGGGCTCACCCGAGTGCCCTTCCCTGCAGTGACTGGGTTTGGTGCCTTGACCCAGAGCCAATCACTTAATCCCTTAGGCCCTCGGGTCCTGTAACTACCCCCTGGGGAGGGGGTGGTCTCAGATGCCGCTTGCCCGAGCGAGCCAGGGACCCTCTGAGGGCACGGCTCTCCTGAGTGACTGAGAGATACTTCAGACCACATGACCGGGAGTTGAAGGAAGAATTCGAGAAGAGAGTTCTGTCCTAACATTCAGACCCAGTGGGTTCAGCGATCTGGAGAGGTGCCATGGGGTGCTGGGAATGGCCCCTGTCCCTGGCCTGCATTTGGAGAGCCCTGAGCCCCCACACAGTTGGTGACCCATTTTCTCTCTCCCTGTTCCTCACCCCTTCTTTCTGTTGGTCCCCTTTCCCCTCTCTCCCCTTCACTCTTGTCTCTCTCCAACCCCCCCCCCACCTGCTTTTGGCCCTCCCCTCCCAGAACCTGGAACGCAGTGGGAACCAGCACAAGGCAGAAGTGGAGGCCATCATGGAGCAGTTGAAGGAATTAAAGCAAAAGGGAGACCGAGACAAAGAAACCTTAAAGAAGGCCATCCGAGCCCAGAAGGAACGAGCGGAGAAGAGTGAGGAGTATGCTGAGCAGCTGCACGTGCAACTTGCTGATAAGGTGGCGGGCCTTCCCGGAGGGCGGCTGGGGGTGGAGGCCTGCGGCTGGCTAGGCTGTGATCAGAGGGATGCTGTTGGGGGAAAGGGTGACTGTGCTGGGGGGAGGGGAGGGTGAGTAAAGGGGTAAAAGGGTGAAAGCAGGGTGGGCGGCTGGCTGGAGACGCTGAAGGGGACAGTTGAGCCTGCATCAATATCGTGCGTGGGAATGTTGATTAAGGAAGGATGTGCAAGTAAAGCGCATGTGTGATTGCTGGAAATCTAGGAGCTACAGCTGGGTTCGGTCACCCTTGGTGTTGTCTGGAAAGGGACTGTGGGGGTGAGGAACCGTCCAGGGTGAGCCCAGCACCCAGCTCCCTCGGCCTCAGCGCTGTCACCTCAGGGCTGACGGGCCCTGTTGTCCCATGTTCCCAGGATCTTTATGTTGCTGAAGCTTTATCCACTCTGGAATCATGGAGGAGCCGCTACAATCAAGTTGTGAAAGACAAGGGAGACCTCGAGCTGGAAATTATTGTCCTGAATGAGTACGTGTGTTAGGAGAGGGCATGTGGGCTGGTGGAGGGAAGCGGGTGCACAGGTGGAAGGGGCCTGGCAAGGTGAGGTGGGGCCCAGCGCCCTCATGGCTGCTGTGTGGTCTCGCCCGTCAGGCGCTGCACTGTGGAGGGGCCCGGCTTCTCTGCTCACAGAGGGCTGGGAGCTGCTGGAAATGGCCCTTTCTCCTCTCTGTTGTCTGCCTGGTGATAGCAGCTATTTTGCCCAGCAGTTGGTAGGTCAGAGTAGGGGGCAAAAGTGGTCTCAAGTGGTAGGGGACTGAACTCACACCTTTCTCGCCACTGGGGACCAGTGACCGTTCAGACGTTCTCAGTGTCACCTATAATCATGTATTCATTCATCTGAAAAAATATTTATTGAGCATCTGCTCTCTACCAGGCTGGGTGCTGGCCTTTCGGGTCACCACAGAGACAAGACAGATGCATTCCCTGCCCTTGTGGAGTTAACCCTGTGCTCTAGTAGAAAACACCAGGCTACAGAGACCCGGACTCCCAGGGTTCTGGACCGGTCACAGGGTTGCTAGCTGAGGAAGTGTCTTTTGCTGGATTCAACTCAATTTAGCAAACATTCGGAGAACCTGCTATATGTGTTGGGCCCTCGGCCAGGTGCAACCTTCCCAGGGTTCTGGGTCTGGTAGGAAACCAATAATGAGGGTAGGCGGATACATGGTACAGAGGAGAGGGATCGGGGAAGAGAGGCTCTGAGGAGGGAAGTCTCGACTGGGTTTCTAAGGGTGAGGAGGAATTTGCGGGCTAAACCAACGTGATGTGTTTGCTTGGGCCTACTCTGTGCTTAGCACGTATTTGCTGAATGAACTGTAACTGATCATTCCTGAGAGCACACACCGTGTCAAGGTTCTGTTTCGGGCCTGTGGTCAAGATAAGCATCTGCGAGCCAGAACGCGGCTGTGGGGCCGTGGTCTCTGTTGCTGGACTGCAGCCCTGCTGAGTGACGGGGGGAGGGGAAGGGGGTGAGGGCACGTGAGCGCATGACTTCTTTCCCTTTGTGCTGTATGCATTCACTGCATTCCCGCCTGTGCAAGGGGAAGGTTCACACGCGTGAACAAGGGAGAGGGATGTCTGGGGGTGTCCCTGACTACCCAGCCTGGGAGTTCTGTCCAAACTTGAAGACCTGCTGGGCTAAAAGATCCAAGGCGGGGGGGGCCATGGAGAGTTGGGAAGGGACCCCGTCTCTGGTTCTTGTCTTCAGGGCGTGTCTTGGCCTCATGGGAGGATCAGAACACAGAAGGCTTCTGGAAGGGGGGGGGTATGGGAGACAAATCTAAAGGCTGATAGAAGAGAAGGGGGGTATGTGGGAATGTGCCAGGGCAGAGCGGGGCAGTGGAGTGGAGTGGAGAGTGGGGAGCAGACAGGGCACCAAGAGGTGGCCCTGGGGAGGAACACTTGGCCCCACTCCACACAGACCTGGCTTCTCAGAACCCATGTAAGGCTTCTCTTTGTCTGCTTTCTGTCCGCGACCTTTTAGCCGGGTGACAGATCTCGTAAACCAACAGCAAACGTTGGAGGAGAAGATGCGGGAAGATCGGGACAGCCTGGTGGAGAGGTTACACCGGCAGACGGCCGAGTATTCCGCGTTCAAGCTAGAGAACGAGAGGCTGAAGGTCTGTAGTGAGAGCGGGCCCACACCATGGGTGTAGGGCAGCAGGGCCCCTGATGGGGCACTCCAGATGGCCCCTGGAAATGACTCAGGGGTCTTCAGAGGGCCTGAGGCAGCAACATGATTAGGAAGGCATGTGCTGGAGTCAGAAAGGCCTGGATTCGGGGCGCCTGCGTGGTTCAGCCAGTTAGGAGTCTGCCTTCAGCTCAGGTCATGATCTTGGGGTCCTGGGATCGAGCCCAATATCAGGCTCTCTGCTCAGCGGGGAGTCTGCTTCTCCTCCCTCTCAAGTAAATGAAATCTTTAAAAAAAAAAAAGAAAGGCCTGGATCAAGTTCTGACCGCCTTTCACTAGCTACAGGCCCTAGGCTAGACGGTTTATCCTTTGTCACTGTGGTTTCTTGGAGGAAAGCAGGCTCTGATGAGAATGTGGTAATGTGTGTGAGACACTTAACATGAACGCCCAGCCCGTGTGCGTGCAACACACCCGACTAGAGGGCGCCTGGGTGGCTCAGTTGGTTAAGCGACTGCCTTCGGCTCAGGTCATGATCCCGGAGTCCCTGGATCGAGTCCCTGGATCGAGTCCCGCATCGGGCTCCCTGCTCGGCAGAGAGTCTGCTTCTCCCTCTGACCCTCCCCCTCTCATGTGCTCTCTCTCTCTCTGTCTCAAATAAATAAATAAAATCTTTAAAAAAAAAACAAAAAACACACCCGACTAGAGGTGGACAGTGACTCCTGGGGGCTGCTGCCCCCTTGATGTACATCTATTCTCCCTAACCTCCTAACCTCCCGATAGTGAGTAGTTGTCTCTACTTTATAGAATAAGGACACAGACTTAGAGAGGGGTCACGTTTGTTGCCAAGATTTTGCCCTGGAAGTGTTGGCGTTAAGATTTGAAGCCAGTCTCGTTCTGGAGCTCCAGCTCTTGACCGCTTGCTCTACACTCTCTCAGCACAGTTGAGGCAGAGGCACTGAGTCAAGGTTCATGTTTCAGAGCCAGGTTGGATCTTTTTAACTGATCTGGACAGTCAAGCCTAGGTTTGTTTATTTTTTTAAAGATTTTATTTTTAAGGGGTGCCTGGGTGGCTCAGTCAGTTAAGCCTCTGCCTTTGGCTCAGGTCAGGATCCCAGGATCCTGGGATCGAGCCCCCACATTGGGCTCCCTGCTCAGTGGGGAGCCTGCTTCTCCCTCTGCGTGCCACTCCCCCTGCTTATGTTGTCTCTCTCTCTCTCTGTCTCTGTCAAATAAATAAAATCTTCAAAAAAAATTATTTTTAAGTAATTTCTACACCCAATGTGGGACTTGAACTCACAACCCCGAGCTCAAGAGTCACATGCTCTACCGACTGAGCCAGCCCAGCACCCCTAGGTTTATTTTTTTTACTGCTTTATTTAAGTATGACATATGGAAAGGTACACCATTCTAGACTTTTCATAAAGTGAACACGTTTTATCCCATCATCCACCCTTATCTAAACCTTACTAGCATCCCAGTGACCTCACCCACTTACAAACACCTGTGCAAAGGTGACTGTCCTCCTGACTTCAGTCAGCACAGATCAGCTTGCCTGTTTTTGAATTCCATGCCTGGCTTTCATTCAGCGTTCTGTCTGTAAATGATCCATGCTGTGTGGCAGGTCTCAAGGTCCGTGCTGTCCAGTCTGCGGCTGTAGGATCACACCATGCTACATTTATCTCTCCTCTCAATGGACATTTGACTTGTACAGTATCTTCATGCATCTTTGGATGCACCTATTTGGGGTATTTTTATAAGTTAAATACCTTGAGGTAGAATTGCAGGTCATTAGATGGTGAGCATAAATTCAGCTTTGGTAGATGTTGCCATAGAATAAGGCAGTTATACAAAGTTACACTGCCATCAGGGGTATGGGAGAGGTAACAGTTGCTCCGTGTCTCCTGGGGGACCCTTGGTATTGTCAGTCCTCACTGGAGCCATTTCTGGCGGGAGGGGCGGCCCCTCATTTGTTGTAGTGAGGTTGCTGGGAAATGAAAGGCAGCCTCCACGTCTAACAAGTGGTTAGGGGATTAGTTACAGTATGGGTGTCTGTGGCGAGTAATACAGTGTGGCCATTCAAAATGATGTTTGTAGAAGTATATTGTCTTAGATGATGTTCTCCAGGAAAAGTTTAAAACATTACAGAAATGTGATATAGAAGTGATGTTCTTTGTGAACTGTGGATACATATCTTTCCAGGTTTTTTCCCCCAATACTAATATAGATATTCAAACACACACACACCTATTGTTCTGCAGCTTGCTTTTCTCATTCACCCATATCTCTTGGATATCTTCTTAGGTCGGGTTATTGTTTTGGTTTGGTTTGGCTTGTTTTTTTTTTTTTAGCTTTATCTCTTTCAAATGACTGCAGATTGTTTTATTGAGATACCATGATTTCTTTTGTCCCATCTACTAAGGTGAACATTTAAGTTGTAGGAGGACATTTGTTGACTTGAGAAGTAGGTAAGGTAATTGTTACTTGCAAAAGCATGTTGCAAAGCAGTAAATACCATATAATCCTGTTCCTGTTGGAAAAAAAAATAAAGTATCTAACTCAGCTACAGACAGATAGCCATAAAGCAAGGCATCAGATTGGTTTTCCTTGGTGTTACCTCCATTTTTTTTTTCTTTCTTTTTTTAAAAAAGATTTTATTTATTTATTTGACAGAGAGAGACACAGCGAGAGAGGGAACACAAGCAGGGGGAGAGGGAAGCAGGCTTTCCACTGAGCAGGAAGCCTGATTCGAGGCTCGATCCCAGGACCCTGGGATCATGACCTGAGCTGAAGGCAGACGCTTAACAACTGAGCCACCCAGGTGCCCCTTACCTCCATTTTCTTTTTCTTTTTTTTTTTATTACCTCCATTTTCTTTAATGATTATGTATTATTTTTGTAGTAAGGACAAGAAAGCATAAGAGTTGCTTATTTGCACCTACAGTTGACCCTTGACACACGGGTTTGAATGGTGTGAGTCCACTTATATGTGGATTTTTTTTTTATAAATACAGTTTAGTACTGTAAATGTATTTTTTTATGATTTCCCTAACATTTTCTTTGCTTTAGCTTACTTTATTGTAAAAGTACAGTATATAATACATATAGCATACAAAATACGTGTTAATCGACTATATATGTTATTGGTAAGGCTTCTGGTCAACAGTAGGTTGTTAGTAGTTAAGTTCTGAGGGAGTCAAAAGTTATAGGTGCATTTTCGATTGTGTGGGAGGTTGGTGGCCCTAAGCCCTCCACTCCTTGTTCCAGGGCCAACTCTTTATTCACTTGAGTTGCCCTGGCACCTGTCTGAGGAAAACTGCTAGTGTGGGTTTGAGTAGGTGGGGTTTCCCTTGGCTGGCCCCTCGGAGTGCGAGGCGAGGGTGGGATGGCCGCCTGCTCTGGGAACCTTCCTGTGGGTTACTCACTAGCCGCCCCTTCCAGGCTAGCTTCGCCCCGATGGAGGACAAGCTCAATCAGGCGCACATCGAGGTACAGCAGCTGAAGGCATCAGTTAAGAACTATGAAGGGATGATTGACAACTATAAGAGTCAGGTAGGCGGCTGCCCGGGACATTGACCTCTCCCAGGAAGGGTGGGCTGTAACGGTGTTTTTCACCGAAACTCTGCCCAATGCTCTGCTGACCCCCAGGTGATGAAGACCAGACTGGAGGCTGATGAAGTGGCCGCCCAGCTGGAACGCTGTGACAAAGAGAACAAGATCCTTAAAGATGAGATGAACAAAGAGATTGAAGCGGTACTGCCTCCCTTCCTTGCCTTCTTCCGCCGCCCAATCCCATGTCTGTCCCCCTTGGTTGCCTGTGAATCTCCCAGATTTGGACCAGAAAGATTGACGAGTTTTCTCATTGCTGGGCTGGTCCACACTACCGTGCACATGCGCTCTCGTGCACTCTCTCTCTCTCTCTCTCTGCTGCTTTATTCCTTTTCCTCCTGGTTTTTTCTTTCTTCAGTTTCCTTAAAATAATCTCTCCTCCTTAGAGCATCCAAGTGGATTCAAATGCTCAGATCTGCCAGGTCTTAGAAGTTGCCTGTTTCGTTCTGCTCAACCCAAAGATGTGCCTCCCCTCCCCTTCCCCTTTTCTCGAGTCTTACTCCAGAGATAAAGGGATCATCTTAATATTAACCTAGGAGAAGGGCTGAGTCCAGACCCAGCCACTAATCTGTTACATAGCCTTGGGCAACTCCTTGCCCCATCCAGTCCTCAACCTCCTTGTTAATACAGGGATGGACTGAATCAGAGAGCTCTGACCTTCTCCTCTGACCTGTAGCATTAGGATTGCCTTCCTAGGGGCATTGGAGTTAGACTGGACCTTAATCCTGGCTCTGTCAGTTTCTAGCTGAGCAACCTTAGGGAAATGACTTTGCTCCTATCATCCTTAGAGCCCTTGTATTGGGACAGCAGCCCCCACTTTATAGGTCGTTGTATGAATTAATTGAGAGAGCCCTTAGCACGGGGCTTGGGGCCTGGTGTTTGCTATGTGATTGCCATTGTTATTCAATGACTAAAGGAGTGGCAGGCTCAAGCGCCATTTGGGGTCAAGTGTGTCCCTCAGAGAACAGCTGGACAACCCTCAGTGGCCTGTGGGGAGGGCAGGCCACATTCCTGCCTGTGGTTCTCACAGGACCCTCTTCCAGGGACTGAGGGCGGCCCTGCCCTAACTCCAAAGGACTCCGCCTGGCCCCACCAGCAGCAGGGCCCTTCCCAATGGTGGGCTCTTCTCTCCCACTCCAGGCCCGTAGGCAGTTCCAGTCCCAGCTGGCTGACCTGCAGCAGCTGCCCGACATCCTCAAGATCACAGAGGCTAAGCTGGCGGAGTGCCAAGACCAGCTGCAGGGCTATGAGAGGAAGAACATTGACCTCACAGCCATCATATCAGACCTGCGCAGCCGGGTAAGGGACTGGCAGAAAGGGTCCCACGAACTGGCGCGAGCAGGGTCCCGCTTACCAAGATGAGCTGCACACCCCCCCCAAGGGAGGACCACTTCCTTTTTCTTGGCTGCCGCTTTCTGAAAGGAGTGAGCTATCATCAGTGCTGTGAAATAAAAGTCTGGTGTGCCAAATGCCTTGTGTTTGCACAAAGTGATTGTAGTTATGGGAGCCGTCACTGTCCTGTGTTGCCCGCCCCCCGGTGCTCCAAGTCTCCACCGCTCTGTGGCTGTGCTCGGCCCCTGGGGAGACAGCCAGCACTCCGAGTGCTCTTTCCCAGCTTTCTCTTGCTTTAGCTGCCTTTCCCTACTCTTAGCTCCATTGCCTGAGGTTCTGACCCCAGAGAGGGCTCCCTTCCTCCCGGAAGCAGTCTGCCTCTGGGTTACTGGAATCCTGCCTATGGTGTAAGAAACTATGTGCCTCTCCTTTGCAGTGGGACCTTGGGTGAGGCCCTTTCCTTCTCCTGACCTGCTACCTTGTAATAATAAAAGTAGCTGTCGTTTCTTGAGCACAGACTTTGCGCTCCAGTATTGTCTCACATAATTCTCCCAGGAACGTTAAGATGTAGATACTATTTTCCCCCATTTTTCAGAAAGCAGCCCAAGGCATAGGGGCATAATTTCCTGAGGTCACAGAGCTGATACTTAGTGAACAGGGTTTGGAACCCAGCGAGCTCCATCTGCTTCCCAAGCCCATGTTCTCAGTCCTCTTAAGTTGCCTACCCTCTCTTGAACCTGAGCATTCTGAGGGCCTTTCGAGCCTGATATCTGAGGCTTCTGCATACAGCAGCCCTCTGGATAACCTCTCAAACTCGCCAGCCTGAAAGACTTGCTAGGTTTCCTGTTACCTTGCGAGCACCTGTCCCCATTCAGTGGGAGAATGAAATCAGCGGTGCCAACACTGTAACTGGTAAAGCGCCGTGGCACGTCGTGTGGGCCCGTTAAACCCACCATCTGCTTCCGCCCTCTCACGTCTGCCCCGGATCCCATTGAGTGGCTTCTCCTGATCAAGAAAGCATCACCGTGGTTCATCGGGATCAAGCCTGGCTTCTCTTCGTATGGGGAAAGCCTTCACGGGAGCTGGGCCTAACCTTTCCCTCCTCTCCTTTCTCCTCCAGGTTGTGCGTTGAGACTTGGATACCTGCTGAGGGCAGCGTGCCCCTCTCCTGGGTGTGGATGACAGGTCCTAGGGGGAAGGGAGGGCTGCACCGGGAAGTTCCTTCATAAACAGGTCTGTGTTCCTGTCATTTTAGATTGAACATCAGGGGGACAAGCTGGAGATGGCAAGAGAGAAACATCAGGCTTCCCAGAAGGAAAATAAGCAGCTGAGTCTGAAGGTGGATGAACTGGAGAGGTTAGAGGCACTTGGTCCCATCTCTGTCCTCCTAGGACCTGAGACTTTCAGCCACTTAGCTGCTTTGGGCTTAGTGTGCAGAAGTGTTTGAGGGACTCAAGGCCCTGGAAGGTACAGGGCAGACCTCAGAGGAAAAGCTGCTTCCATTGCAGTGGTAAGCATCGTGGGAGAGAGGAAGGCGGTCTCCTGACCGGGGGATGCTCCAGAACAGTGTGGTCACGTTCAGACCACCCACAGGCTCCACCGACCAAAAAGGCACACTTCACCCAGCAAACCAGCAGGACCAGTATGCGGCTGTTGGGGGGGGCATCCCCCCCTTCACAATTTGCTCTTTGTTTCTGATCCTCCTTCCCCAAGACCTTTCTGATCTGATTCTTCTGTTACCTACGGACTGTTGGCGGCAGTCAGGGGAAGAGTACAGCTCTTCCTGTTTTCCTGTGGTTCTCACAGGAAGACTTAATATAACCTCATGAGCTAGATTCTTATCTAGGGAAAACGGGAAGGGGAGGGGAGGCACATCTTTGGGTTGAGCAGAACGAAACAGGCAACTTCTAAGATCTGGCAGATCTGAGCATTTGAATCCACTTGGATGCTCTAAGGAGGAGAGATTATTTTAAGGAAACTGAAGAAAGAAAAAACCAGGAAGAAAAGGAATAAAGCAGCAGAGAGAGAGAGAGAGAGAGAGCGCACGTGCACGGTAGTGTGGACCAGCCCAGCAATGAGAAAACTCATCAATCTTTCTGGTCCAAATCTGGGAGACTCACAGGCAACCAAGGGGTACAGAGACCCAGAGTCAGAAGCCCTGGCCTTGGGTCTCAGCTTGGCCACTTGTATTATGATCTTGAGCAAATCCTTGAACCCTTTTTTTTTTTTTTTTTTTAGAGAGAGTCTTTTTTTCTTTTTAAGATTTTATTTATTTATTTGAGAGAGAGAGAGAATGAGAGATAGAAAGCACAAGAGGGAAGAGGGTCAGAGGGAGAAGCAGACTCCCTGCTGAGCAGGGAGCCCGATGTGGGACTCAATCCCAGGACTCCAGGATCATGACCTGAGCCGAAGGCAGTCGCTTAACCAACTGAGCCACCCAGGCGCCCTCCTTGAACCCTTTTGAACCTCTGTTTACTCATCTTGAGAAAGGGATCAAGGGAGGGATAAGAATCTAGCTCATGAGGTTATCGTAAGTCTTCCATGAGGCCTTCCTCAAAGGCCTTACCACATTAGTTGCTATTATCCCCCCACCTTTTTTTTTAAAGTATACTCCATGCCCAACACGGGGCTTGAACTCACGACCCTGCGATCAAGAGTTGCACGCTCTACCGACTGAGTCAGCCAGGCATCCCTACTATTATCCCAATTTTAAATATGAGGAAACTGAGCATGGAGAAAGGTAAAGTGACTTGCCCAAGGTGACACAGCTGGTATTTGGCAAAGCTGTGACGTAGGCCCCTGACTCTCCTCCGGAGCTTTTAAGCATCTGTAAAATGAGGGTTGGGGCCTTAGTTTCAGAGCTGAAAGGCCGGGGCCCTGGGATGCCATGACTGCCCAGGTGGCTCGTGCAGCCTGCATGTGGGGACTTTGGGCAAGCAGGTCTCCTGGGCTCTGCCAGTGTTCTGCTCTGCTGGCCTCCAGTGTGCAGCTGGACTCAGCAGAACTTAACAGAGCTTTCAACTGGAAGATATTCTGCAAGTGCACTGGGGACCACGTGTGCATATCGGAATGGTCACTGCAGCCCGTGGTGACTCACATCCGCGGTAGAGCGGTCCAGCTGAAGTCCCTTTGCTGAGGGGGCAGCCGTGAACAGAAGCTGAGGGCATGGGTTTTGGTGACAGACCTGCCAGCTGCGCTGACCTCGGGCCAGTGACTTTAGCTCTCAGTGCCTCAGTTTCTTCCATCTGTAGAGTGGGGATAATGGTGACCCGTGTTTTTGTTGTTATTTTTTTGTTTTGTTTTACAAGTGGCAATTTTATTTGTCCTCTATAAATTCTTTTAAGGTTAAAATTTTAATTATAAAGGAATACATTTTAATCTTATTCTAGAAACTTCCTTCTCTCCTAACCATTCTCCCACATGCATAAGAAACAAATTAATTGCATTTGTGAAACATTGTATAACTTCTAAATTTTAAGTTCAATACAAGGTGCTGTATGTATCATGTGTGCTAACAGGCACACTCAGTCAGCTTTCCCTGCCCGCCCACTCTTCACACAGCCCTCTAACTGGCTGCCCGGGCTGCTCAGCTCCCTGCCATCTTGCTAATCAGGTTTCTTTGGTTTATTCCTGTGGTTCCTTGGAGACTCGTGGCGTGATGAGAGCCCCGGTCCAGGGGTGACTGGCAGCCCCCTGGTGGGGTGGAACAGGACAGGTAGGGGTATGAGCAGGATCTGATTAAGTGCTTTCACCTAGGAAACTGGAGGCAACCAGCGCCCAGAATATCGAGTTCCTACAGGTGATTGCCAAGAGGGAGGAGGCAATCCACCAGTCCCAGCTGCGGCTAGAGGAGAAAACACGGGAGTGTGGGACCCTGGCCAGGCAGTTGGAGAGCGCCATCGAAGATGCTAGGAGGCAGGTCAGTCTCGATTCCATTACTAACTATATGACCTTGGGCAAATCACCTGACCTCTCTGAGCCTATTTCCCCATCTAAAAAATGGGCACACAGTAGTGGCACCTGCCTCATGAATTCATCGTAAGGATCAAATGAGCAATTACTATAGAGGATTTGGCCCTTTATTCATGATGGCTTATTCAGTTGCAGCCTGTGTGGGACTCAGCCAGGTTTACCAGGGCTCAGGTGATGACTCATGGGAGTGTGGGGAAGGGGCAGGTGAAGTGGGCTGCAGAAGTCCTGTATTTAGCTCCTGCCCCGAGGCTCCCGGGAGTCGTCCACAGCGATGTGCACGGGCCGTCCATGAGACCAGAGCGGGAGTTGCCCAGGCTTCTCTGCCTGGCATTGCCCAGGTCAGGTAAGCCAGCCACACCTCTGTGCCTTCTGGGCAGGTGGAACAAACCAAGGAGCATGCAGTCTCCAAAGAGCGAGCTGCTCAGAGCAAAATCCTGGACCTTGAGACCCAGCTGAGCAGGACCAAAACTGAACTCAGCCAGCTGCGGCGGAGCCGGGACGATGTGAGTCGGGCTGGAGGGTAGGGGGCAGAAGAGAAGGGAGTGGATTGAGATTTTAGCTTCCTGGGGCCTGCAGGGCAGGGTGTTTTTATGAATATGACATGGTTTTATTTTTCTCAAATCACTTTCCCATCCCTTAAGGATATTCCAGGCAGATCCCTTTTTTTTCTTAACCGCTTTGTTAAGGTATCATTTACATACCATAAAACTCATTTAAACTGTACGCTTTGGTGGTTTTTATTATATTCACATATTCACAGAGGTGTGCCATTATCGTCACAAGCTAAGTTTAGAATATTTTCAGAAAGAAACCCCATAGCCGGGCGCCTGGGTGGCTCAGTTGGTTAAGCGACTGCCTTCGGCTCAGGTCATGATCCTGGAGTCCCGGGATCGAGTCCCACATCGGGCTCCCTGCTCGGCAGGGAGTCTGCTTCTCCCTCTGACCCTCTTCCCTCTCGTGCTCTCTATCTCTCATTCTCTCTCTCTCAAATAAATAAAATCTTTAAAAAAAAAAGAAAAAGAAAAAGAAACCCCATAGCCATCAGCAGTCCGTCCCATTCCCCCGCCCTCAGCCCCTGGCAACCACTGATCAAGTCTCTAGGGATCTGTCTGTCCTGGACATTTTACACACTTGGCCTGTACTCACACTTGGCCCGTACTCTCGTTCTCCCTCCTAGGCTGACCGTCGCTACCAGAGCCGGCTCCAGGACCTCAAAGATCGCCTGGAGCAGTCAGAAAGCACCAATCGCAGCATGCAGAACTACGTCCAGTTCCTCAAGTCATCCTATGCCAATGTGTTCGGGGACAGTCCCTACACTACCTACCTGACCAGCTCTCCCATCCGCTCCCGATCTCCTCCTGCCTGAGGCTGCCGGTCTTGGGCCAGGAGCCCGGATTGATGCCACGGGGAACCGCAGAGGGGCCAAGCCATAGCTGGAAAGCCTGTTGCTTTCCTCTCTCTTCCACTGATGGAAGTGTGTTCAGGATCTTGTCTGAGCTACTGGCCCCAGAAAAGTCCCTAAAGCAGCGAGAGGGTGGGGGTGGGGGACAGGAATGACTTAGTTTTCTCTTTCGCCCCTCTGACAGAGTCATCTGATGGAAATTAATTACCTTGACACACCATAAATCTACTAATCTTAGGGTACCAGATTTTAACTCACCATGACTTTGCTCCTTCCTTCCCAGAGAAAATGATCTGAACTTTTTCTTCCAGTTCCCTCACAGCCCTCCTCTTTTGAGGAATCTCTCCCTTGGGTTTTCTCTTCCCTGAACCAGCAGGATCTATTAGGCCGAGGCCCTCACCACCACCCCTCCTGGGCTGTAAGCATGTTCACTTGCTGTTTTTTGTCACGGGTACAGTGTTTGCCCCAACGCCTCCCTCCCACGCCCACTGGAAACCTCATGTTCGAGTGTCCTTGAGGCCACCCTGTCCCTAAGCACTTCACAACAGACGCTGCAGGGCCCGTGTCCAGTGGCCTCTTCAAAGTGTAATCCCAGTCTCACTGACTTTTGTTTCTCTTTGCCAGGTCTGTATCTATGGAATGCATTTATTCTGGAAATATGTGTGTTGTTTTATAAGAAGCTTTTATAATCAATATTTAAGGCTCCATTGGATGATTTCCTTACCCACCCCTTCCCTTTTCTAAAAACGATGAAGGAAAATGTTGCAGGAGAGCCAGTAAACAAGTACTTGGTGCCTGGGACATGAGGCTTCTCATTTCATTTTGGCCCAGGTTGGTTCTTCCTTCCTTGTGCACCTTCTTCACAGCATAATCCTGTGAGATGACTGGAGAACACACTTTGTAAGGCACTGCTCAGTGTCAGGTGGGATGGATAGGATGGAGGAAGACAGGATGTGTATATATTACTCTTTTTAAAATGTTAGTTGGTTTTTCTTTTTATAAAGATCTTATTTTTGGGGATGCCTAGGTGGCTCACTTGGTTAAGTGTCTGCCTTCAGCTAGGGTCATGATCCCAGGGTCCTGGGATTGAGCCCGACATCGGGCTCTCTGCTCAGTGGGGAGCCTGCTTCTCCCTCTCCCTCTGCCTGCTTCTGCTCTGTCTCTCTCTCTCTCTAGTAAATAAATCTTAAAAAAATAAAGATCTTATTTTTAAAAAAATTTTTAAAGATTTTAAGTAATCTGTACACCCAACATGGGGCTTGAACTCACACCCTGAGATCAAGAGTTGCATGCCCTGCTGACTGAGCCAGCCAGGTGCCCCTAAATATCTTATTTTTAAATAATCTGTACACTCAACATGGGGCTTGAACTCACAACCCTGAGATCGAGAGTTGCATGCTCTACCAACTGAGCCAGCTAGGTGCCCCCTGTTAGTTGGTTTCTGATTATGGGCTATTTTTGCGCTCTTCACATTTTCCTGTATTTAAAAGAAAGAACACATTCCTTAGAGGGTGAATGAATGGGCTACTGTGCTGAACCCTAACCTTTCTGTTTTAGCTGTTATTGGCCTTCTGGGTGATCCAATCTTGTCCTCTGTCTACTCTAACCCACGGGCAATGAACTCCAGAGAATTCCCCTATGTCCTCAAAAACAATGGGCCCACACAGGCATCTAGATTCAGAAAATCTCCTCCCCCCCTCAAATTTTTGGACATTTGCAGTTTCCAGCTTTTAATTTTGCCAAGGGAGTTCATTTGAAAAACAAGGACCAGCTACCAGTGCCACAATACGAAGTTTTCATAGCTTTAATGATAAATGGACTAGAACTTACAATGTATGAAAGATCTTCCAAGAAAGAACAGTTGGGGGCAGCCTTCTTGGGTCCCCTCCCTCTTCGGGAGCTTTGTACTATCACTCAATAAACTTTACTTTGCTGCCCACCAAAAAAAAAAAAAAAAAGTACAGTTGGCAAGCTTACACCAGTGTGGTACATATCTGCACAACTCATTTGTATTTTTGTAAAACCAATGAAAAATTCCTCCTGCAGGGCACTGCTATTTACAACGCTGGTGGGAAACACCTCTTTTGGAGTCTATTGCTGGGACCCTCTCAACGATGTTCTATTTTTCTTTGTAAAGTATTTTATTACAAACAGTCCAGAGAGTTTGTAAAAAAAAAAAAAAAATTAAAAAATGATAATGTTTGTATCACTTCAAATTCCAGAGGGTGTTTCCTTTCTACCTCGAACTGAGATCCCACGAAATGGGCAAAAGAATTGCCAAAGCTAAACAGTCCCAGTTAAAGCTGGTTCCCAGCAATGGTGAATCTTACCCGATGTATTGAGATAGGATTCACATACCATAAAATTCACCCTTTTAAAGTGTATAATTCGGTCATTTTCAGTATATTCACAAAGTTACGCAACTATAAACTTTATCCGGTTCTAGAACATTTTCATCACCCCAAATGAAGCCCATACCAGTTAGCAGCCACTCCCCCTTTCCCCTCCCCACAGCCCCTGGCAGTCACTAACAAAGTCTCTAAGGATATGTTTGTTATTCTGGACATTTAACAAAAATGAAATCATACAATATTGTGACCAGTGCTTTCACTCAGAATAATGTTTCCCAAGATTCATCCATGCTGTAGCATGCATGGTACTTCATTTTATGGCCAAATAATACTCCATTGTATGAATGCACCCTATTTTATTTACTCATCAGTTGATGGACATTTGTGTTTACACTTTTTAGCCACTATGAGTAATGCTGCTACGAACATTCTACGAGTTTTTATGTGGATGCATATTTCATTTCTTTGGGTATACACATATACACTTAAAAAGAGTAGTGCTGGGTCAATGGTAACGCTAACCTTTTGAGGAACTGTCAGGCTGTCTTCCACAGGAGTTGCCCCATTTTAGAGCCCACCAGCAATGTTCCAATTTCTCCACATCCTCATCAAAACATACTGGGATTTCTGCAATCCAGAGACTCCAGCCTTCAGAAGATCCTGATCCTACCGGCAAGCAAGAGAGGTAGCATAAGGACCAAACCCTACGCACAAGCGCGCTGGCAAGCGGGCTCGGCGCTGGAGGCGGGGCTACGCAGCCGTTAGGGGCGGGGTTGCGCTGCGCGGCTGCGTGCGTGCCCCGGAAGCGGAAGCTAAGGCCCGTTTCCGGGCGGCTGATTCGAGGACATGTTTTGTTACAAGCGGAGACTGTGAAAAGCTCCCTCAGGTGAGCTATGCCGTCTGAGGGTCGCTGCTGGGAGACTCTGCAGGCGCTGCGCAGTTCCGACAAAGGTCGACTCAGCTACCACCGCGACTGGCTGCTGCGGGGCGAGGTGAGCGGGGGGGGCCCCGGAGTGGGCGGTGCCTTTCCGGCTCCTGGCCACGAGACCCTGCTGTTCCCTAACCCTTGGCACGTCTTGCGCTTGGAACACGTGCGTTTTTTCCGACAACCCGCATTTGTTTCTTGACTCCCGTGTGTGCTTCTCCGTGTCCTAGAGTGTCTGCCCTCTCCTGCCTTTTCTAACCTTTCAGGGAGCTCCTCTTATTTCAAAGGTGCTCTTCTCTAAAGGCTTCATTGCCACTCCCAGTCAGAGTCAGAGTTAGGCGCCTCCGCTGTGATGTCAAAGCAACCCTCTCGGGGTCAGTTATTTACTGCACGTCTTTTGTGCTAGGAGATTTAGCGGAGAACGACTAATATGACCTAACCTATTGACCAAAATTCTAGATGACGTTGGGCAGACGTGGAAAGTTTTAATGGTGGCCTGGTCCCTGTACCTAGAACTTGCAAACCCATGCACTAGACTGCAGGGCTGTAGACAAGGTTAAGGCATAGCTCCTGTACCCAAGTTGCTGATAATTAGTTATAGATACGATGTTGTCCTGTCTATTTACACGTTCTAAAGCATTTCCCTGTCTTTTAATATCACTGGCAGTGTTAGGCAATACATAACTTGAATTCTGTAGGATGAATCCCAGAATGGGTCTGTCTGGTGTAGAGTCACGTTGTGCATTTTTGGCAGGAATACCATAGAAATGATGCTGTGTTCTCAGTCATATCAGGAAGCATACATATGCTGCAACCCATCCCAACACTGGGAATCCTAACCTTGATCACCTGGTCACATTGTTACCTGCCAGATAGCTGCACTTAAAATGGGGCATTTTTCCTTTTGTAACTGATTAGTATCTTATGGGGAGGTAATCCAAGATTACACTAGTATCCTTTAACTCGTCAAACCTCCATGGTTGGCATTCATTATTTCTGCCTGAATCAGTCACCCCTGTGAGGTAACCAAATGGCGTTTCTTTAATATCCACCATTCCTTCTACGCTTAGTAGTTGGCATTCTACTGTAAGGAAGAGCTTTCTTTTCTCCCCTGTTTAATGAATTGTTTATATCATCATGTACTCCTGGGTTCCTGTTTTATTCATTGAGTTGTAATCCATTACTTGTACCCTTGTGTGTGTGTTATTTTCTTTTTTTTTTTTTAAGATTTTATTTATTTATTAGAGAGCGAGAGAGAAACAGCATGAGAGGGGAGAGAGTCAGAGGGAGAAGCAGGCTCCCCACTGAGCTGGGAGCCCGATGTGGGACTCCATCCCAGGACTCGGGATCATGACCTGAGCTGAAGGCAGTCGCTTAACCAACTCAGCCACCGAGGCACCCTTGTGTGTGTTACTTTCATTGTGTGGGAAGTGTGTCTTCAGGATAAACTCTGAGACTTGAGATTGCTGGGTCAAAAGGTAAACATAGATGTCCCCCGCCCTTCATTACATATGCATTAGATTGCCTTCCAATCAACAATGCATGATCGTGCCTTTTTGCCTGCAGCCTTGTCAACAGAATGTATGCATTGTTGGGGCGCCTGGGTGGCTCAGTTGTTAAGCGTCTGCCTTCGGCTCGGGTCATGATCCCAGGGTCCTGGGATCGAGCCCCGCATCGGGCTCTCTGCTCGGCGGGGGGCCTGCTTCTCCCTCTCCCACTCCCCCCTGCTTGTGTTCCCTCTCTCGCTGTGTCTCTCTGTGTCAAATAAATAAATAAAATCTTAAAAAAAAAATTAAATCTAGGGAATTAGAACAAGGAGAAATATGTCACTCGTCACCCAAGCATAACTTCTAGCATATTTTTCATGTCTTTCAGTGTATTAGCATTTTTTTTAAATTTTATATAATTGTAGACATTTATTTATACTCTTGGTTTTTCACTTAAAATTGAATCTTGGGGGTGGGAGAAATGGGAGGAAGGTTGTCAAAAGATACAGACTTCCAAGGGGCACCTGGCTGGCTCAGCCAGAAGAGCGTGTGACTCTTTGATCTTGGACTTGTGAGTTTGAGCCCCACATTGGGTGTAGAGATTACTTTTAAAAAAAAAATCTTAAAAAAAAAGATAGACTTCCAGTTATAAGTACTAGCGATGTAATGTACAACGTGACTGTAGCTCACACTGCTATATGCTATATTGGAAAGTTAAGAGTGAATCCTAAGAGTTCTCATCACAAGGAGAAAGGTTTTTCTTTTCCCTTTTTTCTTTTCTTCTTTGTGTTGTATCTATAGGAGAAGATGGATGTTGGCTGAACCTATTGTAGTAATCTTTTAATGTAAATCAGCCCATCATACTGTCACTTTGAACTTATACAGTGATATATGTCGAATATTTTTCAATAAAACTGGGGAAAATTTGAATCTGAAGTATGGTGTTAACATAGGATTCACAATCAGTGCTTTTTTTTTTTTTTTTTTTAAACACGTGGGGCTTGAACTCACGACCCTGAGATCAAGACCTGAGCTGAGATTAAGAGTCAGACCCTTGCTTAACTGACTGAGCCACCCAGACGCCCCCGCATTTAGTACTTTTAAATGACTAATGTCCCCTGATTGTGTATATTGTAGCTTAGGTCAAAATTCCCTGTGTTCTTTTCCATTCTTATGTTTTAGATTGCTTTCAAATATGCTTTATTTTTTTTTTAATTTTTTAGATTTTATTTATTTATTTATTTTAAAGATTTTATTTATTTATTTGACAGAGAGAGACATAGCAAGAGGGAACACAAGCAGGGGGGGTGGGAGAGGGAGAAGCAGGCTTCCTGCTGAGCAGGGAACCCGATGTGGGGCTCGATCCCAGGACCCTGAGATCATGACCTGAGCTGAAGGCAGATGCTTAATGACTGAGCCACCCAGGCGCCCCTAGATTTTATTTATTTTTTGACAGAGAGGGAACACAAGCAGGGGGAGTGGGAGAGGGAGAAAGCAGGCTTCCCGCCGAGCAGGGAGCCCGATGCGGGGCTCGATCCCAGGACTCTGAGATCATGACCCGAGCCGAAGGCAGACGCTTAACTACTGAGCCACCCAGGCGCCCCTTGAATATGCTTTAATGACCATCTTTGTGTGTCATTCCTTTTTCTGTGGTTACAGTTATTTAGTCTGATGCTGTAAAAGGATGGTAGTCAGGGTCATTACCAAGAAACTACTTTCGATGTAATGTATGGTGACTAACATAACATAATAAAATTAAATTACAAAAAAAGAAACTACTTTCTCGGGGCACCTGGGTGGCTCAGTCGTTAAGCTTCTGCCCGCGGCTCAGGTTGTGATCCCGGGGTCCTGGGATCGAGCCCCGCATCCGGCTCCCTGCTCCGCGGGAAGCCTGCTTCTCCCTCTCCCACTCCCCCTGCTTGTGTCCCCTCTCTTGCTGTGTCTCTTTCTGTCAAATAAATAAATGAAATCTTAAAGTAGTTTTTTTTTTTTTTTTAATCTCCATCTCCGATAGTACAATTAGATTGGGTCTCTGGTATGTGTGTGTGTATGTATGTATTCAGGCCTTCTTAGATAACCAGTAAGGCAGATAGTGGAAAATAAGGCCAAAATTATTTTTGATTGCTTGAATCAGTTGACATGCAAGTTGGGCTTCACCCTCTTCTTCTCTCTAGGATGTTTTGGAAGAATGTCTGTCTCTTCCCAAGCTGTCTTCCTACTCTGGATGGGTGGTAGACCATGTCTTACCCCAAACACAAGAGAACCCACCTTCCTCTGAGACCTCAGCATCCTCTAGGTCCACTTCCACCCTCGACCAACCTTCCTGTGTTCCCAGATCTCCTGGCAGAACCCCTGCCTTCTCACCATCCTCCTCAGCAACACCAGATGGAGCCGAGGTAAGGTTTTTGTTCAGCTTAAGACAGGAGGTGGAGGTGGCCAAAAAGCTGAAGTGTTTAAGGGGCCCCTGGCTGGTTCATGCGGTGGTGGAGTGTGCGACTCTTGCTCTCAGGGCCATGAGTTCGAGCTCCACGTTGGGCGTAGTGATTACTTAAAAATCTTTTTTAAAAATGTTGAAGTGTTTAACATTGTCAGACAGCAGTGACCTTACCCTGGGAAAGATCATGACTCTTGTGCCTGTCATAGGGACTCCATTCACTACATCATGCAGTGTCCTCTTAACGAAGAGCTGAGAGAGAGAGTCCCCTCTGTTCTTGGTACCAAGAATAGCAATTAATTTCATGAGCATTTGGTTTGTTTTTTCTCATGACCATTGCATGAGTTTAACTCATGAGGTCTCCCTTTTTGTGTTGGCTGCTGGAGGCTTACAGTAAATTTCATACCTGTTCTCCAAACGTATGTAACTTATCATTGGTTCTATAATTTGTAAAACAAAAATTGTAATTTGTTTAAAAAAAAAAAAGCAGGGGCGCCCGGGTGGCTCAGTCGTTTGGGCGTCTGCCTTCGGCTTGGGTCATGATCCCAGGGTCCTGGGATCGAGCCCCGCGTTGGGCTCCCTGCTCAGCGGGAAGCCTGCTTCTCCCTCTCCCACTCCCCCTGCTTGTGTTCCCTCTCTCGCTGTGTCTCTCTCTGTCAAATAAATAAATAAAATCTTTAAAAAAAAAAAAAAATTTTTTTTTCTCTTTTTGACTCTATTTTGTCCCTGCCTTTGTTTCTCCCACTTAACAAGTGTTAAATTGTTACTGGTGGCGTTCTTTTCTTTTCTTTCTTTTTTTGGGGGGGCGGGGTGGGGATATACTTCCAGAAGTAGTTAGTGTATATACAGATATACAGGAACATACAGTATGATTCCATCTACTTAACATTCTTGAAATAAGAGTATTCTAGAGAACAGATTAGAGGTATGAAGGTAGGTGTGGCTTGGGAAGCTTTATGGTAATGGGACAGTTCTGTACCTTCATTGTGCTATAGTTACAGAAATCTACACGTGAGATAAACTTGCATAGAACGGTACACATACACAAATGGATTCCTGTACAACTGGCGAAATCTGAAGTAGTTCTGTGGTTTGTACCAACATCAGTTTACTCTTCTTAATATTTACTGTATTCCTGAATGTTAGTATTGGGGGAGACTAGGTGAAGAGTGCACAAGCCTCCCTCTACCTATTTTTTCAACTTCCTGTGAATTAGAATTATTTTAAAATAAAAAAAAATTTCTGGGGTTCCTGGGTGGCTCAGTTGGTTAAGCATCTGCCTTCGGCTCAGGTCATGATCCCAGGGTCCTGGGATCAAGTCTCTTGTCCAGCTCCCTGCTCCGCAGGGAGTCTGCTTCTCCCTCTGCCCTTCCTCCCACTCCTTCTCTCAATCTCTCTCTCTCTCTCTCTCTCTCAAATAAATAAATAAAATCTTTTAAAAAAGATTTCTGTTTCTATGAGCGCTTCTCAGTTCCAATCCTGCCAGTACTGTGGCATGCCAGTGGGCAGGCATCTTCCTCATGCTTCAGCTTCTTCATCTGGAAATCTGGTACTGTGCCACATTGCTGAGTTTCTTTCCAGATAGAGAATTCCATCGTTCTTGAGGTTTATTTATTTATTTTTATTATTATTTAAAGATTTATTTATTTGAGAGAGAGCATGCGTGAGCTGGTAGAGAGGCAGAGGGAGAGACTCCTCAAGCAGACTCCCCACCAAGCGCAGAGGCTTGGGGCTTGTTCCCAGGACCGTGAGATCATGACCTGAGCCAAAATCAAAAGTCAGACACTTAGGCGACTCAACTACCCAGGTGCCCCCATTCTTGAAGTTTAAATAAAGTTTTGGATGGCTTCACATAATGGATTATTGTGTCATTTAGGAATTTTTGGTGTTTAACAGAAACCCAGGTTAAACTAGCTTAAGCAAAACTAAGAGGGAGAAAAAGGAATTAATTAATTAGCTCATATAACCATAAAGTCTACGAATGCATTCAGAATCGGTTCGATCCAGGCAATCTACTTTCTGCTTGTCTCTGCTTTACATCATTTCTGACTTGATCCAGTGACCCAAATACGGGGCTTTGCCTCTCCTCTCTGTTTACTCTTCTTAGTTTTATTGTTTATATAGATTCCCTGTGGCAAGATGGCCATTAGTAACCCTAGACACATATCTTCTTAGATTAGCATCTCCAGAAGTATTAAGCCTTCCCAGATAACTCCATCAGAAAAGTTCAGAGATGGAGTCTGGCCTAGCCTAGCTTGGGTCATAAGCCTCATTCTTGAAGTAGATGCTGGGGCGCAGGGTGGGTGGGGGGGCAGATAGAGTACTTTGATTGGTAGGCTGGTCACATGATTACCTCTGACAGAGGAGGGTGGAAGAACAGGATGTGGGTTGGGATTGCTCCATTCAAACCACCTCAGCACAAATGGACACTTATCAGAAGAAAGGGGAGAAGTTTGCTGGGTAGATCAAAACAGACAAGCAAATCAAAAAAGCAAACAAATTTTTTTTTGTATGCTTTTATTTATTTATTTGACAGAGACAGACACAGCGAGAGAGGGAACACAAGCAGGGGGAGTGGGAGAGGGAGAAGCAGGCTTCCCTCGGAGCAGGGAGCCCGACGCGGGGCTCGATCCCAGGACCCTGGGATCATGACCTGAGCTGAAGGCAGACGCTTAACGACTGAGCTACCCAGGCGCCCCAAACAAAGCAAAATAAAAAAAAAAAAAAAAATAGAACTGTCCAAAGCAAGAAATCATTTATTGGTTTGTATATTATTATATAAATATAGTTTATTATTTCCTTTACTAAGGAAAACAATTGGAACAAGATCAACATCATGAAAAGCACACTGCTTCTTCTTTTTTTTTAAGATTTTATTTATGCATGAGAGAGAGGCAGAGAGAGAAGCAGGCTCCCCAAGGAGCAGGGAGCCTGATGCAGGGCTCGATCCCAGGATCCCGGGATCATGACCTGAGCCAAAGACAGACGCTTAACCATCTGAGCCACCCAGGCGCCCAAGCACACTGGTTCTAACCTAAATTGTTTGGGTTTTTTTATAAGATTTTATTTATTTATTTATTTATTTATTTGAGAGAGAGAGAATGAGAGATAGCATGAGAGGGAAGAGGGTCAGAGGGAGAAGCAGACTCCCTGCTGAGCAGGGAGCCCGATGTGGGACTCGATCCCGGGACTCCAGGATCATGACCTGAGCCGAAGGCAGTCGCTTAACCAACTGAGCCACCCAGGCGCCCTAACCTAAATTGTTTTACTGTTGTTCTTATGGTTATTGCTCATAAGTAGGGATGTGGTTTTCGTCTGGAAGGGATAACACCAAATTTACCATCTTGAAATGTTTAATTTTTCCATTTTTTTGTCTATATAGGGCAAACATGAGTCCCAGCATACAGAGCCTATGGTACTTCAGTCCTCCCGGGGGGTCAAAGTGGAAGGCTGCATCCGAATGTATGAGCTGGTGCACAGGATGAGAGGAACAGTAAGTGACCCACGAAATAAGGCAGGCTTGACCCAAGGGAGCCACCTGTAAATGCAGTTCTTCAGGCATTATGGATGTCCACATGCTAATCATCGTGTCCCCCGTGCTAGTAGCTCCCGATTCATTTGGGGAGAGTGTAACAGAGCAGTCACAACTGAGCTCTCTGAGGGGAGATCTGGGTTCAAATCCTAGCTCTTCTATTTTACATATGACTTGAAGAAAATTACTTAGACTTTCCTGGCTTCCATTTACTTCTTCAGAATTTGAAGGTGATCTGGGGCCTGTCAGTAACGTTATACTGAGAAGATGGATCTTAACAGCCTCTGGAGGAAAGAATTAACGCTATTTTTTTTTTTTTTAAGATTTTATTTATTTATTTGAGAGAGAGTGACACAGCGAGAGAGGGAACACAAGCAGGGGAAGTGGGAGAGGGAGAAGCAGGCTTCCGCCGAGCAGGGAGCCCGCTGCGGGGCTCAATCCCAGGACCCTGGGAGCTGAAGGCAGATGCTTAATGACTGAGCCACCCAGGCGCCCCAGGAATAACACTTTTAATAGTTTATTTGGGCTTTATTATTTTTTCATGCTTTTCCAATAAAAGTTAGAAGGATTTTAATTCCCAAGCCTTTGAGAAAGCAAAGTTAAGGCAACAGAAATTGGAACACCTAATTCATAAATTTAACAACAAACCCATGTAATTTCAGTACATAAAGTAAGCCGTTTATTATAGGCTAGCAGTGTTTCAAATGCTGTAGGCCCCACCAGCTGCTGTTTTCATGCGGGAACCACAGTGCCGGCTCCCCACAGCTTGTCTTTTCGTCTTGGTTTTGCTACAGAAGGAGCACGTGTACTTGTCGTGCTGGTTTATTTCAGTTTTCTCCGCCATTTTCCTGAGGGAGGCACCATAACGGCTCCCGTATTTACAGAGGATCCCAACCCTCTGGGGGCCTTTCACCATATGTCACCACCAACTAGATCTGAGCCCAAAGAGCTGACTTTATTATTTTTTAATTAGAAAAACAATGCATGACTTTGTAAACATTTCTGCAGATTACGTGAGTTTATAAAGTGAAAGTCTCCCGGCGTCTACCCTCATTCATTCATTCACTGAGTCGGCCGATAGTTGTCAAGCTCTCACATGCTTATTGAGCACTTAGATGCTGTTCTAGGTCTAGAGACAATAGCAAAGCAGACGAGAATCGAGGCCCTTATGGGGCTTCTGCACTGGTGAGGAGAGGTAGGAGTGAACAAGAGCAATAAGTACAATGTAGGTAGAAGCCGTTGTACTCTGAAAGGCGATGGTTGCTTCCACGTGGGTGCTACGAGTGTGCACGGTGAGGAGTGGTCAGATCCTGGAGAGGTGGGGCCCTTTCAGCTGAAGACTTAGGTCCTTCATCTGTGGGAAAGTTTTTTCCCTTTGATTAGTTTCTCTTCCTCTCCATTTCCTTGTTTCTTCTCTTTCTGGGAACTTTTATTAGTCAGAGATGGGCTCTCCTAGATAAATTCCCTATTTCTCCTATTCTTTTTCTCATTTTCCTTTTGTCTTTCTCTGTTTTTCAGAAGATTTCTTTATTTTATCCCTCCATTGTTGTTTGAAAAGATACGTATTTATGTATTTTTTAAATGATGGGTTTAATTTTCATGAGCTTTCTCTTATTTTCCACTTGTTCTTTTTTCAGGGCATTTTATTCTCATATCATACTAGAGTCCTTTTTTAGATTTGTGTTCTTTGAAATACCTGTTTCTTCTAGATTCGTTATTTTCCACTTGTTCACCTTGATCTCCTAGGGTACACAGTTTCCTCAAATAGCTAATGACCATGACCTTTCTTTGCCAGTGGTTGGACCAAGGCTTCCAGGTGCATAGTCAGGAACAAGATTATAATGCTTTTGAACTTCCTGAGTGTCAGCATTCCTAGGGTATTGTTCTGGAATACCAGCCTCCATGCTAGCCGATCCAGTTATCTCCGGACAGTTTATTCATTTTGTTATAGGAAAGAACACTCTGTTTTTTTGGGGGGGGTGGGAGTATGCGTGATCGTGTAATAAATTGCCCCAAACTTGTGGCTTACAACCACCCCTGGCATGTCACTACTGTCTTTCATGTTTCTGGAGGTCAACCCACTCCACTAGATGGTTCTCACTTAGGGCCGTGCGGGTGCGGCGGCTGGGGCCGGAGGTCTTTCAAAGGCTTCCTCTGTCACCTGGGTAGCAGCTGAAGTTAGCGTTGGCTGCGGCGTCTGTCCTCTCCACATGGTGGGGCTTCCTCATAGCATGGAGCTCAGGTTCTGAGAACAAACATCCTGGAGCCGTGTGGCCTTTCTCAAAAGTTGTGTAACATTATTTCTCTTTCCTTCGTTCTCTTGGTCAAGGCAGTCTTGAAGCCCTGCTCAGGTTGAAGTGGAGGAGATGGGAGGGTGTCAGAGAATGTGCAGATCTCTTTTTAAATCATTACATAGTACACAACAGTAAAAGCAAATCATGTACAAAATGGGCCAAAGTAGAGGTTCTTTACCAAAGATACAGGCAAAGAAGCACGTGAAAAGATATTTAAAAAAAATCATGACAGCACACGTACCTGGCTGTTGGCTGTTCTGATCTCATGATTTCGGGGTGGGGGCGAGGGTTGACTATTTTGTCCATAAACATTCCGCTGATGTTTCTGTTTTCAGCCACATGAACCTCACCTGATTTCAGACCTGGCATTTTTCAATCTGGAGCCTCTTTGAGGTTCTGCTAGGTTGGCTGTCTCCCTGAGAGGCGTAATCTGCTTGTGTGTGCGTGCATCCTCACCTTTTCTCAGCCCTGCTCCGTCAGTCCACATTCCTCCACAGAAACTTTCTATCTTCCAGAAGCATGTTGAAAGTTTTTCCCTGCTGACGATTCCATGTGCTCTCTATCGTTGAGTCTTTTTTTCCTTCCCAGCTCTCTTTAAACAGAGGCTCAGAGGAGGGGTTATATATGCTTGTGGTCACTTTGCCTTCTTGCACTGGAAGCTTTAAAATAGAATAACACAGTGTCTTCACAATATATTTTGCTATATACAGCGGCTCATCCTTCTTAAGGCTGAAAGGTATTCTCTAGTCTGACCCACTGTAATATGTCTAGTCGATCCCTAGTTAATTTAAATTGTTTTAAATGTATCGCCATCATCAGCAGGGCTGCTGTAAGCATCCTTGTACAAATACCTTTGCACACGCTTGCAAATATTTCCTCAGGATAAATTCCTAAAATTAAAGGATATATACACTTTAAATTTTGATAGTTAAAATGTCACATCACCCTTAAAAACCATATGAGAGTACTCTCATGAGTAATAAATGGAATACCTGATACCCTTAGGAATATAGGAAAGGGACTTTCCTAAGTGAAGTGGGGGCGGGGAGATGGAGGCAGAGATGCTAAGGTAACGAAAGGAGTGAGATAGGAATGGGCATAGCATGTTTATGGAATTCGAGTGAGAATTTCTGTTGGTTACTCTGAAACCCTCATCAGAATGCACAGGATGGAGGCTTAAATGCGCAGGGCTGTTTTGACACTATGTTGGTAAATACCTGTTCATTCTCAGCTGATATTGGAGTGACATGAACCGAATGGGGCAAACTGGAAGAGCTTTCCAAAACAGCTGAGTTTAAACATCCACCCAAAGGGGAGATGCAACTCGAGTGTAGCTTCTGGGAAATAAGCAGCTGGTTCCATGCCCTCGAGTGTCTCTGGAGCTAAGGACCAACGAGGGGTACCCCACGGTAAGTGAGCAAGGTGCTAACGGAGCCACAGAGAGCAGGTGCTGACCCTTTCCAGGAGGGCCTGAGGCAGTGGCAGGAGGAGCAGGAGAGGAAGGTGCGAGCCCTCTCCGAGATGGCATCTGAACAACTGAAGCGCTTTGATGAACGGAAGGAGCTGAAACATCATAAAGAATTCCAGGACTTACGGGAAGTCATGGAGAAGAGGTGAGTGGGACCATCAGTGTGCTCAGCGGCACCTCTTTCCCAACATGAAACCCAAAGGGAAAGAGTTGGACTTCTGAGGCCATAAATGTCAAAATGAAATAGCCAGAAAAGCTTATGACCTAGAAAGATGACCAGTGTATCACAAAGAAAAGGGAGGCTTTTAGGAGAGGTGAGGTAAGACATCTTTAGGAAGCATTCCTGACTGCTCCTCCCTGCCATTTCTCGCGCAGCTCCAGAGAAGCCTTGGGGCACCAAGAGAAGCTAAAAGCTGAGCATCGTCACAGAGCAAAGGTCAGAGCCTGGGAGAATCCATGTGGGTTTTTCTGTGTCTTGCTCGAACCTGACAAAAGTCGGGTTTTGGCCGACCGGCAAGGAGGACCTGGCCCACATCGTGCCTCCATAGGACTCACCTTGGGCTGTGGACCCATCTGTGAACACATGGAGCCCACATAAGGCTTGGGGGATGTGGAAAGAGAAGGCCCAGGGGCGCCTCGGAGAGAGGTAACAGGACTGTCCTTCGTGTAGATTCTCAACCTGAAGCTGCGGGAGGCCGAGCAGCAGCGCCTGAAGCAGGTGGAGCAGGAACGGCTGCGGAGGGAAGAAGGCCAGGTTCGCCTGCGGAGCCTCTATGCCCTGCAGGAGGAGGTGCTGCACCTCAACCAGCAGCTGGATGCCTCTGAGCCGCACAAAGACGCGCTGAAGCTTGACCTGTCTGCCTTCCGGACCCGAGGCAACCAGCTGTGTGGCCTTGTCTCAGGGATCATTCGGGCCACGTCTGAGGTGAGGGTCTTCGGAGGGACCTTGTGATAATCCCGGTTAGCATTTCATCTTTCTTCCCTGACAAGGTGGGGGGGCGGGCAGTTATCCCCACGCCAAATTGGACTCGTACATACCAAGTTTCCTATCTTAGGTTAAACAGATAATTGTTTATTCTGATTGCAAAATAGTTGCGTTCATTCAGTAGTATTTTATTGAGCACCTGCAATGCTATGGTAAAAGTGCCTATGGGAATGTGCATTGCTTTTTTCAGTTAACGTATTTTGAAAGCATAATTAGTATAACCATTAACAATATTTTGATGTTTTTAATTAAAGCAGTGTTTAAAACTGCAAGTATTACTGTGACACATAGCAGATATTCAGTATTATTTGATGAACTTGTCAGAATTGGATAATTTCCGCATATAATCTTAACGAAAATCGTTTGAAAAAACATGCCTACTGTTGAACATTTAAGTTTCTGTATTTTTACTACCATGCATAATGCTGTAGTGATAACATTTTATATATGTCTTACTTGTATTTCTTTGAGAAAATTTCCTAGAAACAATTACTTGGTCAAAGAATTTTAAGGTTCTTGATTCTTACCCAAAGCTTGTAGCAATTCACGTTTTTTTTTTAACTTTTTTTTTTTTTCTTAAAGTAGGCTCCATGCCCAGCATGGGGTTTGAACTCATGACACCGAGATCAAGAGTCATCTGCTCTGTTGACTCTACTGAGCCAGCCAGGAGCCCCCTGCAATTCACATTTTTAAGAATTGTACTTTCTTACCCTTAGTTCATATTTCTACGTGAGTTTTTGTTTTAAAAATCCAGTTGGTACATGTTCTAAATATTAAGAACTTTGTGCACTTATCATATTTGAGGCAGAAGTTTATTTTTATAGTTTATCGTTCCCTTTGAATTAGTTTTATAGGTTTTGTTTACCTTTCCTTTTGTAAAATTTCAAACCTACACAGAATTAGAACAGCATAATGAACCTTTATGCAACCATTTCCCAGCTTGAGCAAGAATCAATACATGGCAGTCTTACTTCATCTCTCCTTCCAGCTGCATGCCCTCTCCCGAATGGTTTTACAGTGAATCTCAGACGTAACTTCATCTGGGAAAATACTTTTGTATGTATCTCTAAAAGATAAAACTCTTTGCTAACAGAACCAGAATACTAATATCACATCTGAAAAAAAAAACAAAACAATTTAGGGTGCCTGGGTGGCTCAGTCGTTAAGCGTCTGCCTTCAGCTCAGGCTCAGGTCATGATCCCAGGGTCCTGGAGATCGAGCCCCGCATCGGGCTCCCTGCTGAGCAGGGAGCCTGCTTCTCCCTCTCCCCCTGCTTGTGTTCCCTCTCTCGCTCTGTCTCTCTCTGTCAAATAAATAAATAAAATCTTTAAAAATTAAAAAAAAATTTAATATGACCAAATACCTAGTAAGTGTTCAAATTTTTCCACTTGTCTAAAATTTTTTTTTTTAAAGATTTTATTTATTTACTTGAAAGAAACAGTGAGAGAGGGAACACCAGCGGGGATTGGGGGGGCAGTGGGAGAGGGAGAAGTAAGCCCCCTGCCAAGCAGGGAGCCCGATGCGGGGCTTGATCCCAGGACCCTGGGATCATGACCTGAGCCAAAGGCAGACGCTTAACAACTGAGCCACCCAGGAGCCCCAGCATGTGACTCTTGATCGCGGGATCATGAGTGCAATCCCTGTTTTGGTTGCAGAGATTATTTAAAAATAAAATCTTTAAGAAAAAAAAAAGTGAATACATGGGGCACCTGGCTGACTCAGTAGAAAAAGCATGCTACTCTTGATCTGGGCAGGCGGGTGGCTCAGTCGATTAAGCATCTACCTTCAGCTCAGGTCATGACCTCAGAGTCCTGGGATCGAGCCCCACAGCAGGCTTCCTGCTTAGCGGGGAATCTGCTTTTCCCTCTCCCTTTGCCCCTCCTCCTACTTGTGAGCCCTCTCTCTCAAATAAATCTTTTTTTTAAAAAAAGGTACCATTTCAGATCAGTGGGGAAAAGATGAATTAGAACCATAAAAGTAAAGATTAAGGGGCACCTGGTTGTCTCAGTTGGTTAAGTATCTGCTTTGAGCTCAGGTCATGATCCCAGGATCCTGGGATTAAGCCCCGCATCAGGCTCCCTGCTCAGTGGGAAGCCTTCTTCTCCCTTTCCTGCTCCCCCCCAACTTGCGCTCTCTCTCTCTCTGTCAAATAAATAAAATTTAAAAAAAAAGTAAAGATTAAATTTGTACCATTTTTTCATCTGATTGACTCTATAATCTTTGTCAAAGAGACACAAAAATAAATGATGTTCAGTGAAAAAAATCTAGGTGAATATTTGAATTATGTTAAGGTGTGGAGGCATAGCAATGGGAAGGATGACTAGATATGAGTACACAAAACTGAAAGACGCATTATAACTTAGGAAACATTTTTAACATCTGTAACAGGCCAAAATTTAATGTCCTTGCTACAGAGAGAGTTCTTATATCTATGGGAAAAAGGATAAATAAATCACTCTCTACCTCCATTCCACTAACAGAAAGCTGAGGAAAGGACCAGACAGGCAGCTGTAAAAGGAGAAATACAATTGGTAAATTTGAAACTAAGTTTTTGGGGGTTTTTTTGTTTTGTTTTGTTTTGTTGTTAAGATTTTATCTATTCATTTGACAGAGAGAGAGGACAAGCAGGGGGAGCAGCAGAGGGAGACTCTGCTGAGCAGCAGAAGCAGACTCCCCACCGAGCAGAGAGCCAGACATGGGACTCAATCCCAGGATCCTGAGATCACAACCCGAGCTGAAGGCAGATGCTCAACCAGCTGAGCCACCTAGGCACCCCCTAAAATTAAGTTTAAAATCACCATTAATATATGGAATGCAAATTAAAACACAATATCATTTTTATCTAGACTGTTGTTACAAACTTTCAAAAACTTAGCCAGTGTTGGTGAGAGCATGGAAGCATGCTCTGAGCACCAAGCGTGCTCAGGTCTGCCTGTGGATGTGATGGTAAATCGGTCTCACCTTTAAGAGAACAGGAAGCGGTAGGTATCACCGTGTTGAACGTGGGCACTTCATTGGTGCAACGGTTCCAATTTAGAAATTGTTGACGTGTGTAAGTTGTGATTCGGCTTCACAGGTGCCTAGGGAGCAGACACTAAGCTCTGCCTCTGTCCCCCTGACAGAACGGCTTTCCCACAGCAGAGGACCAGGCTGTGGCAGAGAGAGCCCTGCAGGAAATGCGGGACCTCCTCACGAGCTTGCAGCAGGAGATCGCCAAGGCCTGTGAAGCCAAGAGGAGGCAGGATGAGGAGGCGGCCCACGAAAAGCGGCAGGAGTCAAAGATGCAGCAGGGGCCGGAGGTCCCCAGAGAGACCCCAGCTCCCAGCCAGGGCCTAGGAGGGAAACAGAATGAAGGTGGGTGTTGGCATGGATACAGTCCTTTAACCCAGCATGTGAGAGGAAACAAGAACGTGTTTAAATAACGGTGTTAAGTTTCAGGACGATATACCAGAACTTTTACATTATGTAAAATTCCGTACTGAATTTTTACTGAATTTACATTCAGTTTGGTTGATGCGGAGCCAGACACTAGCCATGAGGACTTGAAATTCTGTATCATTCTAGTAGATGTATTATCCCACGTTTTGCTTCTCTGAGGTTTTGGGGTTTTGGGGTTTTTGGTTTTTTGGTGTTTGTTTATTTTTATTTATTTATTTTTTAAATCTTTTTTTTTTTTTAAAGATTTTATTTATTTATTTGAGAGAGAGAGAGCACGAGAGGGAAGAGGGTCAGAGGGAGAAGCAGACTCCCTGCTGAGCAGGGAGCCTGATGTGGGACTCGATCCCGGGACTCCAGGATCATGACCTGAGCCGAAGGCAGTCGCCCAACCAACTAAGCCACCCAGGCGCCCTGTTTGTTTTTTTAAATGCAGTTTTTTGTTTTTGTTTTTTTAAAGATTTTATTTATTCAACAGAGAGAGACACAGAGAAAGAGCATAAACAGGGAGAGCAGCAGAGGGGGAGGGAGAAGCAGGCCCCCCACTGAGCAGGGAGCCCGACGCAGGGCTTGATCCCAGGATCATGACCCGAGCCAAAGGCAGACGCCCAACGACTAAGCCACCCGGGCGCCCCGGTTGTTTGTTTGTTTGTTTTTTAAGATTTTATTTGAGAGAGCGTAAGCATAGGGAGAGGGAGAAAGCAGGTTCCCTCCTGAGCGGGGAGCCTGATGCGGGACTCAATCCCAGGACCCCAGGATCATGACTTGTGCCAAAGGCAGACACTTAACCGACTGAACCACCCAGGTGCCCCAGCTGCTCTGAGTTTTTTTTTTTTAAAGATTTTATTTATTTATTTGAGAGAGAGAGAGCACGAGAGGGAAGAGGGTCAGAGGGAGAAGCAGACTCCCTGCTGAGCAGGGAGCCTGATGTGGGACTCGATCCCGGGACTCCAGGATCATGACCTGAGCCGAAGGCAGTCGCTTAACCAACTGAGCCACCCAGGCGCCCGCTGCTCTGAGTTTTTAAAATAATGCACGATTGCTTTTTGGCCTTTTGGCTAAGATCAAGGGTAAAATAAATATGTACACAATAGATGCTCACTTAATACATAAGAGGATCAGTATATCATAATGGTTGAGAATGCTGGCTTTGGAGCCAGATCCGTGGGAATGTAGTTTTTCTACTTCTTGGCCATGTGACTTTGGCAAATTAACCTTTTTACGCCTATTTCCTTATCTAGAAAATGAAGATAATGTATCTACTTCATAGGGTTGTTGTGACAATGAAATCAGTTAATATCTATATCAGCTGATTAGAACAGTGCCTGGCTCATTTTAAGTGTTCGGCAAAGGGGCACCGGGCTGGCTCAGTTGGAAGAGCATGAGGCTCTTGATCTTTGGGTTGTGGGTTCGAGCCCTACGTTGGAGGAAGAGATTACTTAAATAAATATATATTCTTTGAAAAAGTGTTGAGTGAATGCTAGCTATTATGAAAGCCTCGCTTTTCTTTCTCAGATCTCCAGGTGAAGGTACAGGATAGTACAATGCAGTGGTACCAACAGCTTCAGGATGCTTCTAGTCAGTGCGTGTTGGCCTTTGAGGAACTGACCAACAGCAAAGACAGTCAGGTAGGGAGGGCTGTAGGTTGGGAACCCTCTGGGCCTGGTAGTGCTGTGAACAGCCTCCTGTCCCAAAAGAATGTCTCTAGCATGTCACATTCCCCCATCCTACTGGCATCTACCCGCCTGCTCTTTCACTGTTCTCTCCTGGCAGGCCAAAAAGGTAAAGATGGACCTCCAGAAGGCTGCCACCATCCCAGTGAGCCAAATCTCCACCATTGCAGGTTGGTCAGAGGAGTTAAGAACGTGGCCCTTCGCTTCATTTTGTTATTATTTTTAAGACTCCAGATCTTCTCATCTGTAAGGTTCCTGTAGACAGAGTTTGTTCAGACAAGTGACATTGGATCAGGCATGTATAGGTTAAATCTTACTCTCCTTTGTTTTTTCTTCAACATGTAGAAGGTAATCGTTATGTGTTGGTTGGCTCGATTTTTATAAATAAGCTGCATATTAACAGTAAATTCTTTAGGAAGGCTCTTACCTGAAGTTGAAAATCCCTGCTGAAAACATTGCTCTGGGAAGCTGGGATGTGACTCGCATTCTTTGCTTTTGTCCTGTAACTCTAGCATGTCCAGGCTCGAGACCTGCCTTAATACTTTAGAACGTCTTCCTGTTATCTCCAGAGACTGAGCTTAGAGAGGGAGAACCAGACAGGGGAAAGACCCTTCTTTCTCTCATTCAGAAACAACGGTTCGTTTTTATAGAGCTCTAAATGTGGAAGCTTCCAGGTTACAAGCTGTGCTGCCCGGTGGCTGGCGAGTGTGAACAGCTGAAAATCTGCTCTGACTTAGCCTGGGTCCTCGTTCCCCTGACTCACTTGTTGCCTAGAAAGTGTAGACAAGTTGCAGTTCTTGACCATGAGAGATGCTATGACAGAATTTACGTATCACCCCGCTGCCTGAAGTTCTCTCTGGATCAGGGCAAGGTATAAATAAATAAACATGAATCACCTTCTAGACTTTAAAGTGCCATTTCCTTTGTTTCCCAACAGCAATGGGGGTGAGCTTGACCTGACAGCCACGCCACCCTCTCACTGCTCTACTCAGTGTCCCCAATCCTGTTTCATTCTTCACTTCTGATTAGGCTCTAGTTTTGCTGTTCTTCACTTTACTGCATATTTCCTATGTTTCCTTTGTCTGCACCATCATGGTTAAGTCTTTGAAGAGCCAGATGCAGACATGCTCTAGAGTCAGTGCTCAGTATGTGCTGAGTACGGAGAAACGGATGGTCTAATTCCTGCCGCTTGAAAGGCAGACATCCATGAGTGGTTAGATTTGGAGCAGAATTTAAATCTCTCTGGTGCTGGTGTGGCATATGGGATGTGGGAGGCCATGCCAGGCAGAGGGTTGGGGAGCTAACTTTTCCTAACTGGAGCAGCACAGAGAAAGGGGTTGATAGGAAATTTGGTCCTTTGAAACCATCAGTAAAGTAGTACTCAAGTGTGACTTAGCAGGGGTGGGAGCTACTATTTTGGTATCTCGGTAAGGTTTAAGTAACGGAGACCAGTTTAGATCTGCTGAGGCCAAAAAAAAGGGCATTTATTCTAAAGCTACAGGGGTGTTTCTCAGAACCTACTGGCAGGAATGGGGCTAGGTCTCAGGAGCTAGAAACCCTAGGAACCTTTTCTCTCATCTTCCCTCTGCACATCTCTGATATTAGGTAGACCACTGTTCTTCGGACCACTCAGCAGGTGCAAGGCCCTGGTGTTCATGAGCACGTGTATTGCAGGGCCAGCCACTTCCAGGAGGTGACTCATTCAGTTGGCTGATTGGCTCAGCTGGTCACTCCTCATCAAACTGTAGCCAGCTCGGAGCTGGGGCACACAGGATCCGGAACACAAATAAAGCCATCATGAGCCCACCTCGGTGTATCTGAGGATGGAAGGAGGCAGGTCCCAGAGAAGGGGGAGTCATTGAGAGCTGGGAAGATCCTTTAGAAGGGTTTTCCCAGAGATGGAAATGACTCCTCTTTTTTTTTTTTTTTTTTTTTTTAAAGATTTTATGTATTTATTTGACAGAGAGAGACACAGTGAGAGGGAACACAAGCAGGGGGAATGGGAGAGGGAGAAACAGGCTTCCTGCAGAGCGGGGAGCCCGACGCGGGGCTCGATCCCAGGACCCCGGGATCACGACCTGAGCCGAAGGCAGACACCCAACGACTGAGCCAACCAGGCTCCCCGCAAGTGACTCCTCTTGGGATGTCGGCCGCATGGGATCTGTAGCCATCCCACACCTGTTTCCGTACCGTTTCCTGCTCTGTGTGTCAGTTTCAGAATGTGTTCCTTCCCAAACAAGGAATTCCTTTGAAATAGTACCACGTCTCATGTACTTCTGCACCCCAGACAGCACATTTTATTTGCATGTCATATGTTTTTCTGCAACAGTATTTTGCTTTAGCTTCTGACCTTGTGCAGGGCTGTATGGCTGGATTTTTCTAGAGGCCTTCTTACTGCAATCATGAGAAGCGGAGTGGTCTGCAGTTGAGTCTTTTTTTAACCAACTTTATCTCTGCCATACCCAGGCTCAAAGCTGAAGGAGATCTTTGACAAGATCCACAGCCTGCTCTCTGGAAAACCCGTTCAGTGTGGCGGGCGCTCCGTGTCCGTCACCCTGAACCCACAGGGCCTGGACTTTGTCCAGTACAAGCTGGCGGAGAAATTTGTGGTGAGAATCCTTGTTGCCAGAGGTATGGGGGGAGGCTGGGGTGCAGCCTTTAAGCTTCTCTTCATAGTAACTAATGTGGCCCTGTCTCTGCTCCCCCCAGAAACAAGGAGAGGAGGAGGTGGCCTCTCACCATGAAGCGGCGTTCCCCATTGCAGTTGTGGCGTCTGGAATCTGGGAGCTCCACCCCAGAGTGGGCGACCTCATTCTTGCTCACCTCCACAGGAAGTGTCCCTACTCTGTTCCCTTCTACCCAGCTTTCAAGGAGGGAATGGCGTTGGAAGACTATCAGAGGTGAGGTGGTTTTTCTCCTCACTCTCCTCAGGGGCTGAATGAAATACAAATATAACTGGGGTTTGGTGGTGTCTGGGTGGCACAGTTGGCTAAGGATCTGACTCTTGATTCCAGCACCTCGGGTCACGATCTCAAGGTTGTGAGATCGAGCTCCATGTTGGGCTCTGCACTGAGCACCGAGTCTGCTTGAGATGCTCGCTCGCTCTCCCTCTGCCCTTCCCCTTGCTCGTGTGTGCACTTTCTCTGTTTCTCTCTCTCTCTAAAATCTTAAGAGAAAAAAAAGAACTGGGGTTCATCCTCCCTCCTTTCATAGCTCCTCATATGTACCCGGAATGTTCTATCAGATAATCCAATGTCTTTCATACAGACTGGCTGCTTTGGGATTTGTGGAATCAGGTGCAATAATTAATATAGTTTAGGGAAAAGAATACTGGATCTAGAATCCGGGGGTTTTAGAATTGTGCCCTGCTTCATCATTTAATGATTTGCAAAGCGGGTCAGTCACTTAAGCTCCTTGAGCGTCATTTTCCTTGTTTGCAAATGGGGGTAATGATATCCATCAGTCCTGTGATTTTTGGGGTGCCTGGCTGACTCCGTTGGTAGAGCATGCAACTCTTGATCTTGGGGTTATGTGCTCAAGCCCCACGTTGGTGCAGAGATTGCTTAAAAATAAAATGCTTAAAAAAAAAAAATCCTGGGATGCCTGGGTGGCTCAGTCAGTTAAGTATCTGCCTTTGGCTCGGGTCGTGGTCCGGGGTCCTGGGATCGAGTCCCGCATCGGGCTCCCTGCTCGGTGGGGAGTCTGCTTCTCCTTCTCCCTCTGCCTGCCTGCTCTGCCTACTTGTGGGCTCTCTCTGTCAAATAAATACATGGAATCTTAAAAAAAAAAAAAAAAATCCTGTGAGGTTACGTTGCGGGGCTTATGTGATACACAGAAGTGATTGTCAGTAGGCTTGCTTTGTAAACAAAATATTCTGCAGAGATAATGATACGTAGTAACAATAATGATATGTAGTAAGAATAATGCTAAAAACGGGCACCTGGCTGGCCCAGTCTGTAGAACATGCGACTCTTGATCTTGGGGTCGTGAGTTTGAACCCTATGTTGGGCCTAGAGCTTACTTTAAAAAAGAAAAAAACAGAGGTGTGTGGTTGGCTCAGTTGTAGATTATGCAGCTCTCAATTACGAGGTGGCGAGTTCAAGCTCCACATTGGGCATGGAGCCTACTTTAAAAGACTAGTACTAGTGCTAGTAATAATACTAATAATAATGCTAAATGTAATAGGACTAGATTGTTCCTTTTATCCATAAAAAGTCGTGATTTGTCACCCTCACTTTGGCCTCGTCACACTGAATTTTTTTCTTTCCACACAGGATGCTTGGCTACCAAGTGAAGGACTCCAAAGTGGAACAGCAGGACAACTTTCTAAAACGCATGTCTGGGATGATCCGACTCTACGCTGCCATCATCCAGCTCCGGTGGCCATATGGAAGCCGACAAGAGGTAGTAGAAAATGCCTGCTACCAATAGTGAGAGGTCAGACGGTATTTGTGTATTTTGTCCATGGGGGCTATTGCCCTTCTTGCCACTGGGGCAGTCTCATTACATGAGAACTTAGTGTGTGTTGCTGCTCCCTAAGTGTGCTTTAGAGAAGTTGATGTTGAGTATTGGAAAACTTGGTCCAGCAGAGCTATTTGATTTAGTTGAGCCTTTAAAGAACTGGGTTTGTAAGAGGGTCTACCAGATGACAATCTGTTGTAAACCAGTCATCAAGGTTAGAAGATTCTATTAGGAGAGGAGTGATTTAAATGATAGAGTATCAGGTGTTGTTGTTGTTGTTATTATTTAAGTAAGTTCTTAGCCCAGCGTGGGGCTCAATCTCAGGACCCTGAGATCAGGAATCGCATACTCTGTTGACTGAGCCAGCCAGGCGCCCTGACTCTGTCATTTTAGACCTGGTTGGGTGCCTCATGTCACAAATGAGCAGATGGAGTCGCAGCGAGCTATGGTGACACATACTGTCAGTGACAAAGCCACAGCTGGGGTGCAGGGCTTTGACCTGCCAGCCCAGTGGTTTTCTCAAAGGACACAGATTAGAGATATGGAGAAGTTAATGTACTCGGGAACCTAACGAGAAGGGATCGTAATGGATCGAATCCAAATTTTTATCGTGTACCTGCTGCGTCTCGAGTTCTGTGCTAAAGGTACCAAAAATAATAAATAAAATGTCTATATGGGTAACTGTTGAACTCCCTGAAACCGAAGCTGCCAGATGTGGACTAGGGGTTCCTGTAAAAGATGTGTGGGTTCCAGTGTGTTGGGACATTTGAAAACAGAATTTGTTCGTCTTGTTCTGCCCTGCAGCATGTGCTTGATTTTGGTGATCTGGGGGGTTCATGTCACTTAGTAATGGCTGGAGGATAACCTTGGGAGTTTAGATCTCTGGATACAGTGAGATCAAATCGTGACCAAGTGTCTTCCCTCCCAGGTTCATCCTCATGGCTTAAATCACGGCTGGCGCTGGTTGGCACAAATCTTAAATACGGAGCCCCTGTCAGATGTGACAGCCACCCTCCTCTTTGACTTCTTGGAGGTACGTAATGCGGTTACCACATGAGAGAGACAGTGGTTGAAGCAGCCCTTGGCCACTGCGTGACCTGGATCGGGAAGCAGTATAGAAACAGTGGCTGGTGGTGAACAGCATTAGGATCCGGTGTCGAAACATTTTTCCCGAGTGCTAAAGACAAACCTAGCTTTTGGCTTTTCTTCCCACTGTGCTTTCTTTCTCTGTGTGCTTGTCTTCTTATTGTAAAGAAGAAAAAAACTGTACATCCCAGCACAAGCAGAAAGGGACATTTGTTTTATTTATTTTATTTTTTTTTTAAAGATTTTATTTATTTATTTGACAGAGAAAGACACAGAGAGAGAGGGAACAGAAGTAGGGGGAGTGGGAGAGGGAGAAGCAGGCTTCCTGCCAAGCAGGGCTCGATCCCAGGACCCTGGGATCATGACCTGAGCCGGAGGCAGACGCCTAACGGCTGAGCCACCCAGAGGCCCCTGGGACATTTGTTTTAGGGATAGAGCATTGATTCCCAGAACCTAAGGGTAGAATGTACAGTTGACTCTCATGTGGCCCTCGAAGCAAGAACTAGAATGTTACTAGATACCAAGAGTCTCTCTGGGGCCACATGGTCCTTCCTGTGCTCTTCTTGCAGGCTGCTTCCTTATAAGCCAGCTTTCTTTAGTTCTCTGTGCCCAGGGGAGAAGATGGGCCATCCTGGGCTCTAACCCTTCGCCTCAGTGTGGTCCCCCAGGGTAGTGGAACTGCTGTCCCATCTTTGTGATCCCTCATTCCTGGGAGAACGAATATGATCAGCCAGCTTGGGTCAGCTATCTCCCTTGTCCGGAAGGTTCTTTATGGTCCTGTCTGCCTATGAGGGGCCACCACTATAGGATGAGGGTAAGGGTTTCTGTGGAAAGGAGACATTTCTTAAAGGTTAGAGGCTTGGGGGCACACACCATAACAGATCTGGGCTGTTGAGCCTAGAATGCCAAATGCTTCCATTTACCTTAGAGTTCCTGAAGTCACACGACATGAGCACAGATCATGACTAAATTTGAGAACACGGTTATGTTCTGTATGCTCTGCTTATTACGGTTAGGCAGAATGCCATGCCTTCAAAAAGGTTTCCATTCAGTAGAATCAAAGAATAAATAAGTTTGAGTCACATTTTCTAGTTTGCTAAAATACCTAGCCTCTTGGCGGTCTGGTTTAATGGAAGTATTATCATATATAGAGAAATGCTTCCAAAGAAGGTTGGATTTTTCCTTTAATTCCCTTGCAGAGCTAGCTGAGTGGCACTGTGGCTGAAATTCTTGGTAGGAGTGAAAGGCAGAGGGCTGGTGTTCTTTACGGATCTCTCTCATGAGTGTGACTTTGCATTCTCTGCTCTGACGGTGCCTGTCTTTCCCTAGGTGTGTGGAAATGCCCTCATGAAGCAGTACCAGGTACAGTTCTGGAAGATGATCCTTCTCATCAAAGAAGACTACTTCCCCAGGTATGTGGTGCATTGAGTAGACTACATGGGACTCAGTGGGTGAAACACATGGCATCAGAGGCCCTTGCATGCTGTGACATGCTGGGTTTGACTTGGTTAAAAGCACACGTATTAAGTGTGACATCTTCTCTTATCCTTCTCCTCTCTGATAGTTGAATAAATGCTTTTGAACTGTAATGAGAGTCTCTTAAATATTGTTGGCTAAATGAAAAAATGAATTAAGAAGATCCTGGATTCAGATACTTGACATTTCTTTAACTCTGTTTTCCAAACTCCCCCAGGTAATCTGGGATGGTGATTACATGCAGGCATGAATTAACCCAGAGAATCAAACTCCCTTAATAAGTCAGTTTCTCCAACTGTTTGCTTGACTCTGTCATGGCGTTTCGCCTTTAGGTGCCCTTCTCATTCCTCAACACCCTGGCATTTCAGCTGGGGGAGAGGCCTTGGCAGCACCCATCCTGCCTGATCGCAAAGACCTTGGAAAGGAATGTCCTCTCTTCTCCTTTATCCCTTGGTTTGAAAAGAAGCCTGAGACCATTTGGAAGAATGACAGCATCCTTAGTCCAGAAGACGTCTGAATCATTCGATCTACCCCTTCCTCTAGATCAGCAATGGCCCAAACTCCTCTCCAAGAGGAAGGTGGGAATCACAGCTGTGATCCGTGAGTCTTCTTCTTCTCCCTGCAGGATTGAAGCCATCACAAGCTCAGGACAGATGGGTTCCTTCATACGCCTCAAGCAGTTCTTAGAGGTAAGATGTCCTTAGACCAACACGTTCTGAGCTGTTGTTGACCTCGAGGGCACCCGTGTCTCGGGTCATGGACCTCTAGGCTCTTGGAGTGCAGTCTTCCTCTTGATTTTTTTATTTTATTTTATTTAAGTCATTTCTATACCCCACATGGGGCTCCTACAACCCCAAGATCAAGAGTCCCCTGCTCTTGCGACTGAACCAGCTAGTCGCCACTCCTCTTGATTTTTTTTGAACCCTACTTTTTTGTTCTTGATTCCCCTTCACCTTAAGGGATGGCATTTCATCATCTTCTTATGTGCCATCGTCCATGCTTCCTGAGGGGAAACTGTCTTAGGGATGAATAAAATATACTTAATGAGTCTGGTGTCACTAATAAATTTCTTGCTTGCTGGCTGAGGTTCTTTCCTCAGTCTCAGGTCAGGGGAACTGGGAAATTTGGTCCCTCTTCTCCATGAGAACAAACTACACTTTCAGCCAGACTCCTCCCGTTTCTCAGTGCTGGAAACCAGAGGCTAAGTCTGACCAACAGCCTAGAAGTCTGTGGTCGGTCTGCCAGGACAAGACCCCTGACTTCCACTTTCCAGTAGCCCGAGTGGGCAGAAGGCGGTTGAGAAGAATGAGGCGGGGCTGTGGGAGGCGGGGTGGGGGCAGCATAACCAGCAGCCTGGCCTTGGTCCTCTGCTGCAGTTCACACAGAAGCAGAAGTCTCCTTGCTGCCATTGGTCTTACTCTGCCCGCTGTTGACCGCTGTTTGGAGGACTTGAGCTTGCTGTCCCTCAAAGCTTCTTCCAAATGTTAGATGTCGGAAGGAGCGTTACCAGAAAATCATTCCGTTTTCTCCATCTTTCCCTGACCAGAAATGTTTGCAGCGCAAGGAGGTTCCTGTCCCCAAGGGCTTTCTGACTTCCTCCTTCTGGCGTTCCTGATGGCCCTCCGTCACCCACCGTCACCGTTTTGTTGCAGAGGGACAATAATAAAGCAACTGAAAACAGCTGTATTTGGGAGAAGTCATGTCAGATTTAGAAATCCACCAATATATTTGTACCTTGTGACTGGGAGAGGAGACTTTTCAGGGGTCCCAGAACCTAGCGGGTCTCTTCAAAGGCTAGAGGCTCCTTAAGGGGTCTACATGGCAGAGTAGATGGCATTGGCTTTTCTTATTTCTGAAGTATGGTGAGAAGAGTGGTTTAGTACTTGGTCTCATCATTCATTTCCCTTGTTGTCTAGTGTCTTTCAGAAAGTACATAGTACCTTAACCATTTAACTCTGAGCTGCAATGAGCCCACCACTTCCACTCCATCCTCTTCCACCGCCCTCCTGACCCCCACCAAGTCATGCTGTCCCTTTTCAGAGTACGGGTTAATAGTTAAGGCCCAAATCCTTACATGCAAGTCTGGGTTATAGTGGTTTTCCTTTTCTCGGCTTGTGAAGTCTTTATACATTCAGAGGAAATGCCTGATATAGACATAGATTAAGTCCCAAATTGTATCAGAGATAGTTTAGCATCTGGGACTAGGACTGTTAATTACATGTTATGTTGAACAGGATGCACTGTTGGTCCTTTTAATTTGGAATTTGGCCCCTGGATGACTAGGGATGCATGAACCGGGGACTGGGGGGGCAGGGGTTGTTTTTGAATTTGGTTGAAGACGGGCTGAGATGGCCTTGCAACATTATGCATGAGCCGAGGATCTACAAGCAATGACTCAGGGATTAAATAAAATAAAGGTGTTTGGGAAGAATTGGGAACTGCTTTAGAATTGTTGACATGTTCTGAGTAAAGAGTGATAATAGATTCGCCTGACTAAAGCCACTACAGAAATTAAGAGCTTGGTTGTTCAGATAAGAATTGAGGTTTGTTTTAGGAAAGACTCCTCGTCTTTTGTACTACAGGCAGCCGTGGATCTCCTCTGTACTATGTGTCGTCTGCGGGGATGTGTTTTGGGGGGGGCGGGATATCCCCTGCTACTCTTGAGCAACTTGAAGTGATACCTTCTATGAATTGTTGACTCTGGTGCCAAAAAACAAGGAATAAAGCTTGATTTTTACAAACCCATTGCTAGTATCTAGTTGGTTGATGTGGCCACTTTCCTGTACCTTGAGCTGTGAATGTCACTGGCCTAGCTCTAGAATGGTGTGTGTTTCTCCCTATTTTGTCTTCTTGACCTTCACCTAGGGAAAATTGTTTTTTGGTCATTCCTTTTCGGAATTATGTACCAATAACTGACCTGGTTTTATCTAGCAGGAATGGAAAAGTACTGAAGTTTTTTCATGTGGATGCAACAGAATGAACTCTGGGGAAGGTGTCAGGAGACTTGGTGCAATTTACTTTTAGGTTTTATGTCCTTGGGTGAGTCATTCACCTCCTCTGAGCCCCAGTTTCCCCTCCCCCTGCAAAAACACAAGAATTGGATGAGTCAGGAGCATAGTAGTTTTCAGGGCTCCGTGGCAGTGCCTTAGGGCAGAGCCTCCCAGCGGGTTTGTCAGGGGCACAGACCCATTAGCCTGCAGGACCTGCAGTGGCTGTGGCCCCCAAGGCCAGTCGCTGTTTGCCATTGTTTTCTATGCATTATGACCAGGAAGAGATTGGGAAGCCCTCACTTCAGAATGTTGAGTGGATGGGGCCCAGCCCTATAATCTGTGATCACCTGAGGTGCACGGGGCCTACTAGAGTTTGTAGCTTATATTTTGCCCAGCTGTACATGGGGCCCTAAGGGAACCCTGGGATCCTCTCTGCCACAGGGATTTTGCTATATGTGCTGTATATATAGATTGTGGTTCTATGTAAGATTATATATGGGAATGTTCCTCCAAAAATGAAATGTGAAAGATGACTGGACAAAATGGTCTCTGAAGTCCATTCCACTTTGAATCTGTCTGTACCACTCCATAGAAAACACCTCTCCAGATATTTGAATGTTCTTTCTCTAGGCATGTTTAACAGTCTTGCACACATCACTCGATGCTTAGAATTCCTAATAGGTTCTTGACGGTAAACCAAGAAAGGAGAGCATTGGGGAAGCCAGGTTTTTGATACTCGCTGACAGGGTCGTCTTGAGAATGATTGCTGGCCGATAGCTACACCTCTGATGGTAGCATCAGATTCCTTAAAAGTGGAATACTAAGGCTGGCATCCAGTTTTTAAATTCAAGCACTCACTTGCCTGCTTGCTTCCTTTCAAGCTTGACCTCATTTCTCAGGCTGAGTGCCCATATTTTTGTTTTATCATTGTCCTATATCATTTTAAAGCAAACTTGAGGATGAGTTAAAAATTCCAACAGGAGAGAAGCCCTGCACATCCCTTGGATAGAAGAATGGTTCTGGAGAGTTCCTTCCCCTACTCCTCAAGCTTCCTGTGATGAAAGCAGTGACCTAACTAGGTTTGGCTGTCTTCCATCTCAGTGCCAGGGCAGCCAGGGGAGCCACAGAGCCTCAGACGGAGTCCTTCTCAGACCTGGCCTCACACTTCCCCTTTCTCTGTCCCACTGAATGAGTTCCTGACACTAGATTTCCTGTGGACCTGCAGAAAGCAGGTGAGAGCAGTGGCGAATTTGCAGTAACACCACATTCGGTGTGGAGCCTACTTAAAAGAAAAAAGAACTTATTCTCTAGTTTACAGCTGGGCTCCATTTTTTTTTTTTTTTTAAATACAAATTTAAACAGCTGATGCATTCAAGAAACATTTTTCTTTTAGCCTCTTCAGGTTGCTTACACTAAATGCAGTACATGACCCTGAATTGGAACCTATACCAGAAAAGATTGTTTAAAAAAAGTCTTTAAAAAATTCAGTGTCTTATAAAGGACACTGGGACAATTGGTAAAACTTGAATGAGGTCTGTAAGTTAGATAATAGTATTATTCAAGATTAATTTGACTTTTATCATTGTACTGTGGTCATAAAAATGAATATCCTTATTTTTTTTTAATTCTATTTATTTGAGAGAGAGAGCCTGAGCAGGGCAGAGGGAGAAGCAGACTCCCTGCTGAGCAGGGAGCCCGATGCAGGACTTGATCCCAGAACCCTGGGATCATGAACTGAGCTGAAGGCAGACGCTTAACTGACTGAGCCACCCGTGTGCCCCAGTTATGTACATTCTTATACAAGCATAGCTCTTAAGTAAATAGACTCGAAACCCATGTTGTTCTGTAACCTGTGGTCACTCAGTAATATCTCAAATACTTTTCAAGTCCATCAGTGTGAAGTATATCACCAATACGGTCTGTTGAACTTATGAATCATATTTAATCATTTTTTAAAAGATTTTATTTAAAAAAAAGGGGGGGAGATTTTATTTATTTGACAGAGACATAGCAAGAGAGGGAACACAAGCAGGGGGAGTGGGAGAGGGAGAAGCAGGCTTTCCACGGATCAGGGAGCCCGATGCGGGGCTCGATCCCATGACCCTGGGATCATGACCTGAGCCGAAGGCAGACGCCCAACAACTGAGCCACCCAGGTGCCCCACCTTTTTTTTTTTTAAGGGAGGAAATGTTTACTTATTTTTTTAAAGCAATCTTTACACCTAATATGGGGCTCAAACTCACGACCCTGACGGGTGCTCCACCGACTGAGCCAGCCAGGCGCCCCTGCTTTGTTTATTAACTGTGGTAAAATATATACATCACTCAAAAGTTACCATTTCAGCCATTTGTAAGTCTATGGTCCTGTGGCATTAAATGCATTCCCACTGTTGTACAGCCATCACCATCCGTGCCCAGAACTTTCTCCTCTTGCAAAACTGAAACCCTGTCCCCGTTAAACACTCACTGCCCATCCTCCTCTCACCCCAGCCCCTGGCCAGCTCTGCTCTACTTTCTGTCTCTATAAACTTGACTCTTCCGGGGACCTCAAGTAAGTAGAATGGTGCAGTCTTTGTGCTTTTGTGTCTGGTTTATTTCACTTAGCATAACATCCTCGGGGGTCATCCAGTCACTGTGTTCCTTGCCAGCTCTGACACTGCAGAATGTCATCTGGGAAGAAGTACAGTCCACTTGCCAGGGTAACTTCTCAATCAACTCCTTTATGGGGAGAGAAAAAGTGGAAGTGCTTGGTGCTTGTTAACTGCTGTGCACGTGGATCGGGAGGGAGATTGGGAGGGAGAGAGGGAGAGGAGGGAGGGAGAGGGAGTTTCTCCAGGGAGAGCCGGAGGGTAATTTTCCATGGCTGGAACAGATGAAAACATCATTATGTTTTGTGTATTTCCAATCAGTTGTCCTCTTGAACTTGAAAAGGTATTGGGACTATCTGGATGCCTAAGTTTAGGGTGCATATCAAACCTTCAGAGAACTGGGGGGGCGGATAGAAAAAGCTGGAATTCAGTCTCTCCGCCCCCCTCCTTGCTGTTCAGGAGGACACTGGGAACTGGGAGTTGATTGCTATACTGTCCTGCGCTGTTTTTTTTTTTCCTGACTGAGTTTCTCTCCAAAACAAAGAGAGCCATTATCTGCTCTGTCATCTCTCCCTATACACCTAGCAGAGCCTTAGGCGTACAGTGAAATTGGTGGGAGGTGAGGTAGGCACACAACAGAACACATGAAGGGCTTTTTCAACGTCTCATTTCCAGTGCCAAGTGCAGAATGGGGTGGGTGAGTGAGTGGGAGGTGTAGGGCCAGAGATAATGGGTTTTGGCCTTGTCTCAGATCAGACAAAGGATCAAAGAGTAAGATTTTAGTTTCTGTACCAGTACCACAGCTCTCAAAACTGTTTTTCATCTGGTAAAAGCAACAAAATCCCCATTTCACCATGAGGCTGTAGTAATTTACAAGAAAGATCTTCCCTTTTTACAGCCCATGCCCAGGCCCTTGAGACCAATTCCTTGCTGGAGCAGAAGGTCTTAGAAATTTTGGAGAGCTATGATTGTGTAAGCCATCTTGTACCCAGAGCTGATTATATGATTAAACATTTTGTTGCTCCCCGGTGCAGAAGAGGCTGTCGACGCCATCAACTGTTCCAGAAACGCACACCCCAGGGAGGCATTACCCAGTCCTGTTTTCTCTTTATAGAAGATTGCAGGAAATGCCTCTTAGCTCCTACGTTTTTCCTCCAGATTCTACAAAGCTGCTCCTGGGGTGTGGCCATTCCTTTTCTCTGCACTCCGATGGGTTGAGGGAATAGGAAAATATTTCCTTAGAAGAGGGCAGCTTAGAAACCAGATGGCAGATCCCAGGCACAGGGGAAGAAGGCCAAACTGCAGAGGACCAAGAAGCCCAGGGCTGGGCCTGGGCCCAAGTTCTGGTACAGTGCCCAGGGCTGCTTGGTAACCAGGAGGCTGAGGCCTTCCGAGCTGCAGGGCTCCTGGTCTGCCTGACTGCACAGGAATGATCTGGGTGTTACTCCCAATGGC